GGTTTGTTGACTATACGCGTAAATACTAAACGGTGCATTAAGTCTTGTTGCTTTTTGTGGAAAAAAGGGTTTCTAGTAACATGCATTAATAGTTGACTGATCACAGACAGAGTAGTGATACTTATATCATATCTGTCTGGTAGTATTTTTAGACTGATTGAAATCCATCGATCAAATTGTATTGTTGTCAGTAGTAATCTAGATGAATTGACCGACTGCCTTCAGCGTTCAGTCAGTTGTAAGTATCTCTATCCTACATGATGTGAGTTGCTGCCTAGATAGCTTAGTGATGATATCTCCTCAGACTGTACAGTTGAGTAACTAAGATCCGGGACCACGAGGGAGCATACTCAAGCTGATAGAAACATCCTGGTTATTGAGTTACAGATGTTCGGAGTGTCCTGTTGACCTGTTTTTGACCATTCTAAACCTTTTACTCAGCTTTTCTCAATACTTAGTAGGCTGGATTATTTAAATTTTTGAATGTATACATTTGAATGAGCAAGTTTGTTTGCAGTGGTCCAGAGGTTAGTCGTTCGTGAGCAACACCGAAAGTTCTGTGTTCGAATCTCACGAGTAGAAAGAGTTGTGAATGAGCACTGTTGAAGAGTCCCTTACTAGGATTTAACGGCCATCCAGAGCTTGCCTGTTTCCAATAATGGTCTAAAAATGATTCATTCATGAAGTCAGTAATACTGACATGTAAAGTGTTTGTTTATCTTCATCCTCCTTTGATATCCATCATTCACTGTTTGTATATTTGTGTTGGTTATTCGTAGGCTTGTTATTAAATAAATGTTTAGACATAATTCATACATTATAATGTTTGACTTCCGGTTGGACAATGGCATTAAATAGGAGACTGAGTATTCGGTAAAATAATTTTAATGTACAGCAGAAATCCCACTGAAACAACTGACTGTTCATTGAGAGCTATTGATTTTTAATAGCATTTCAAGGTTAACTTACTAATATAACCCAACAGAAAATGTTTATCAATGTAATGCTGCTGTGTATTCATGTGTTGAAGTTAAACATTTCTCAATAATACTAGTTCGGAGGTTTTTTCTGGTCCAGATCATATTTAGGCGAGCAGCATTTCACAAAACCAATTAAGTTTAAAGTTTGACATGGGGTAGGGGATATCAGTGGTTCAAAAGAGAACTGAGCTCTCGCTATGAGAGTTGAAATTCCTGGGTTCGATGAGCCAGTAGGGTCACGACTGTGTATTTGAAGAAAGTAGAAATATTTTCAATTAGAGTTATGGAGATTAGTGTTTGTTGCACATTTAAATCATCAATCAATCATTGTTAGACCACTATGAATGAGCACTGCTGATGAGTCCCATATGCTAGGACGAAACGGCCGTCTTTCAGCGCTTCCAGGTTTCTAATGGTGGTCTAACAATCAATAATTGATGATTTCAAATGTGTAAAAAGTAAAAATACTCATAAACTGGCTTTTAAAAAGCGTTAATTCATAATTATCAGAATAACATTTTGTTAATCAATAGACGATATTCATTGTAACTAATGATCACTTCCTGAAAACTTTATGAATATATAGTTTGATAATAAACAATAATATTTCTGCATAACGGGATTGTGAAGATTGTTAAGTTACACATTTTTGAAACCATGAACCGATCAATGTTAGACCTGGGTTCGAATCCTGCAAGCTGCAGGAGTCGTGGATGCGCACTGCTGAGGAGTCCCATACCAGGACGAAACGGCCGTCCAGTGTTTCCAGGTTTCTAATGGTGGTCTAACATTGATCGGTTCATGGTTTCAAAAATGATATTTTTCACAGTATATTTAATACTTTTGAAATGACTATAATCGCAACTAAAACAATGTATGTGGTATGTACAACTATGAGTTGTACGTGTACTGCTTTATCAATTAGAGAACAGACAATCGGAAAGTGATATTTTGCAGTTTTTCTATACTAACAATTGATTTGTGTTTTAAATTTCATAGTTTTCAGTTTTTGGTTAATTGAAGATTTCCGGAAGTTTGTACAATACAATAATAAAGCGTATCTATCATAAGGTTGAATGTATCGTTGATGCTAACATTTAAGTTGTTAATCATTATTATCTGATAATGATGATAAGAGAGAATTTTCCACGAGGAAAATGTTAAAAAGATTATTCGTAAATTCGGTTTACACGTTTATTTAGTTCAGAAATGTTTTCATCATTTTAATTGAGAAAATTAACTTAGTGGAAAGCTGATGGAGGATTCTGATTATGATAAGAAGTGGGAAGCACTAGTTCAGGCTGAAAGCCAAATGAGAAAGCCATTTGATGACCATTGGGAAATATTTTGAAGGATGAATGCGTATCGTTGATGAAGCAAGAGGCACATATTATTCGATAGTCAAATAGATGTTTTCTTCTGCACTTGCCTTTGTGATCAAGTAAGTAGCCAGTTTGAGCGAGGAGGGAGGTTAGTAGGTATAGTGATTAAATCTCAGCAGTGCGCATCCACGACTCCTGCTACTCACAGGATTCGAATTCAAGACCTTCGAACATGTGTTTAACGCCTAACATCCAGACATCTGAGCCGCCAACCATCAATCAGTGTTAATGTCTAACCGTGATCAGACCAAGGTCTTGTGCAACCTCATCCGCTGTGTTCGGTGAGAACTGCTTTACAGCTGAACAGGGTTTAACTCCACTGGTTACGACTTCTCACTAGACCCTCAGAGTAACCTCCTCATGGAACTAGTCACTACTGAGCACATGATAATTTTCCTTAAAGTGTTGTAGAGATTTCAGGGTTACTTTGAAATCATGAACCGGCATTTGTTATTTTCCAATGAGTTGATCAGTTTAAAATTATCTAACGTTTCATGATTCATGATTAGTTTGTTTAATAATAAATGAAATTTCATTTATGTGCTTGAGATCATTGTATGCTTGCTGGGTGTTTGTAGAATACATTTTCTATGCCATATCAAGACTTATTGATATAGTTAGCGTAGCGGGAAACAACGGATTAGAATCGCCTACTGTGCCACTTGTTCATTGTCTTGTTCTCGTTTACATCGACAAAGATGAACGCGTAATAGCATATCAATAGCATATCAAGTGTTTGGATATTGAAAGAATATTAACAATAGTGATTTGTTCAAGGTCGACATTAAGTTTACATCAAAGTTGATCTTTGAATCCTTAACTAAATAGGAAGTGTAAACATTGAAGTTTATATATATATATATATATATATATATATATATATATATATGTTTAGAATCAAAATTTAGTAACGATATCCTAAGTAGTTTCTGAACTACTCAGTACTTTCCGACTGGATGATAAGAATAAAACACTTATGATGAGTACCATACTAGTAGGATATAATGCGTATCTATTACTTCCAGCAATTTAGCAGTTTTTTTTAGCTTAGAGGATGGGGATTCAATTGTCTACATTTTTACAGATAGCGAGCTACGTATTTACTAAACTGTATGCGTTCCTATCCTATGTGAATGACTTTATTGTACGCTCACTTTAAAGTATAACCAATAAAGAAATTAATTTTATGAATGTATCGATCCTTTGTAAGAAGGATTTGATTTTGATCGATTAGGTCTCGTGTTCTGTTACGGGTATGAGGGCGGTTGTAACTTCCCGGCTGCCCACACCGTGGAAGGTTGTTTCTTGAGTGATCTGAAAAGGAAGGTAGATTAGTGTTGCTCTTAGAGACCTGGGAGCGTGACTGCAGAGTCCAAGGGACGACTGCTTGTGGCCGGTCACGCATGGCCTTTTTATAAAGGGCTTGAGTGTTAGCTCCGCTCTTGAAAGCCCCTAGTGGGCACCCTTACCGACGGAGGCGGAAATCCGTGAGGTAGGGTGAGGTGTGACATTTTTAGGGTCGATCTTTTCTAACCCTTCCTTGCTTGTGAGAAGGCAGCATCGCTGTAGATGCTGGTTGTCCGAGGGAAACACCTTACTGCTGTCACACTTCTCTACAGTCAGCAGTACAACTTCGCTCTCAGACCTTGAGTAGCTGCTTTTAGCTTCATCGTTCTCCAATCCACCTGCCTGGCATGATAGAACGTACAGGAACATAAGTTCCAGTGAATATAGCTCGGTTGGGTCATCACGATAGGCAAGCTGGACCACCACTTCAAGGAGGCAGCTTCGGTCGGGGAGAAGGAGTAGAGAAGCAGAATAAAACAGGTGGTTAGTAATTTCTGGTTTTCATTTATCTGTATTTTACTTCATGGACTGAAGTGATTTAGATTATAGTTTAACTCTAGCTCCTCATATCTACTATGCGACCGCTATCGATCAGATATCATAGAACTGAGTTGCGTATTGTTTTGATCACTAGTGCGTTGCCTCAGAAGTTATCTATTTGTACGCCCAATGTTAGCCTTCTCCGTTGGGGCAGTTGAATTCTTAGATTCTACACATGAGTGTGGCAAAAATCAGGAATTCTATTATGTTCGTCACTTAGTCGATAAACGCGAACGAGACAATGAACCAGCGTCCAGGTAGGCTACCTTGAATCCGAAGCTGAAGAAAAAAAGGCTTTGTAAGCGTAGAAAGTATATTCTACAAACACCCAGCAATCACAATACAATACAGTCAAGCACACAACTCTCGTTTATTTATACATCATCATAGAAACGTCCTTGGGACAGTCAGAAAAAAATAGCACACTAACAACATACACAGCAGCCAATCACAGCCATGGGCTTTCCTGGTAGGAATTCAAAATCTCAAGGTCAACTGACCAGCCCATGCTGGCAAACTTGGAAACCAAAATAAGTTATTGATCAAGTGAATTTGTTGGGGATGTTAGATCCCCAACAAATTCACAATAATCTGCATAAAAAAACTACACTGTTTTCTGTCATTTATTGTATATTTCATATAATTTTTTTAAAAAAACTATTTTCAGTAATTATGTGTGAATTGATTTGTGTGTTTTCTTTGTAAAAATATTGTTGTTTTCATACGCTTTTTTTATTTATCATCTACATAGAAATCTGGTTCAAAACGGAAATGCTCTGTTTGTCATATTATTTGTCATACAAATTGTCTTCCATTGGTAAGTGTGAATTCATTGCAAATATCTGAACTTATTTGTAAGCTGATTTATCCCAGAGTTGTATTCATTCTGTAATGTGTCTATACTTTAGTGTTGATAGAATTCCAAATTGAATGAGGTACGATTTGGTTATAAGTTCAAATGACCTAACTTCACATGTACTAAGTTTTTTGATGTAAAATTGGCTGAAATAATGTAACAAGAATTCCTATATGCATTGAGTGATACCTCATATGGAACAATAAATTCGTCATTTTCAAAAATACACAATGCTGAGGAGTAATAGAAAACCAATCATCCGCCTGAGGTACAAATTTTCTCGAACAATCCTTGGGCAACCATATAAGCAACTCGTTAGGAAACGAGTTCTAGGTAGGGATGGCAAATCAATAGATGAAATGGTGAAACTTTATCACTTGAGGTGGTTGGGACATGTGTTACGAATGCATAACCACCGACTGCCTCGACGAGCTATATTTTGTGGTGTAGGAGTAGATTGGAAGAAAGCTAGGGGCGACCAGACCAAAACATGGCAGAAATTTATGAAGTCACTGACAAGTGGACTGAGTCATTTTGGTAGATGTAGGCTACCTAGTTGGGGTTCGCGAGACGAAAGTCACGGATGGTCAGAGACCTTAAACGACATGGTTCAGAATCGTTTGCAGTGGCGCAATGCATCCACTCTTTGTACACTATGAAATTCTAACCTTCTGAAATCCTCATAATCTCTATCTTTCTCCTTCTAAATTTATCTCACTGAATTCTACTTCTCGAATCATATCTTTGCTCCCTAATCTTTTCCATTACTGTGAATAATTCTACTATCGATATCACTCTGACAGTTGCATCTCTTTGCTAATTTGGTATGGCAACCTGAACTGATGTACATGCATACGAAGTTCTGAGTTGTATCTTTCTGTCTGTCTGTCTGTTTCGAACCATCTCAATAAGAAACCTAAATCAACAGCATACTACTGACTACTTCTAACTACTTGAAATGTCAACATAGCTAATCATCGTGTAGTAATTTATCACTTCTGCTAAGAGAATATTACAACCCTAATCGTTGGAACTATGTAAGAACAAATGATTGCACAAAAACACTTATATTTATTAACTAAACAGTGATTAAACAGTGTTAAGTTATCGTGTTCATCAATTTATTCAGGGACATGTTTTTAATGAACAAATTTTGTTAAGTTCATGTGATCTATTGAGTACAGTGGGAAATATTTGAGAGAAGGGAGTGTCTTTTAAGAACTAAGAAACAGAAACATTATGTTTGAGATTGATTAGTACTTACGCCTAATATTTACAATGGAGCGAAGACCACCGACCGGCATTCTCCAATCTACTCTGTCCTGGACCTTTCTCCCTCGTTCGTCTTTAATTGAGATTTGTTCTTTAGATGCTTGCTTCCGAATCTCGGGGTAACTTGTTCTTCGGCCCAACTCTTTTCCTTTAGTCCTGAGGGTCCAAAACTCGAGTCTTGGCAGATGATGCAGTTGGGTGATTTCAGCAATCTATATCATATCCACCTCCATTGCTTTTTTCCTAATGCCTTGTTTAGCTATTCTCTCCCACAGTAGGTTTTTGCATATGCTATTAGGCTAACGAATCAGAAGTTTCTTGCATAGAAAACCGTTAATAGATACTTGTATCTTTTGAATGAATTGACTAGTATTTAGATGATGAAAATTAAGTCACATAAAAGAGTCAGTTGGAAAATTGAACGTAGTTCTTAACATATGATTGATAATCCATACAGCTAGTTAATATGAAATTAAAGTTGACATCGTAAATCTCAGTGGAATAGTTTTGCGGAATATATACAACTGGATAAGGAGATTACGTAAATGACAAACATTAGAACAGTGTAGTCATTTTTAGTAGCTGCGTTATATTCGAAGTTGGGTTCACCACTTTAGTGGCATGCAATCTAATTCCAATTTTCATGAATGATAGAGTATGTGATGATATAAATCTTTCCTTTAGTATGACGGGTGGTAATAAGAAGCCGGATATGAATGAATTTGAATGAATTTACTTAAGGCAATCGTTCATACAAGCAAATATGAGAATACAAAGTGTGAAAGCTAAATGAAGTGAAATGGATATGCAAAGTGAGCCAAATCAATGCAATGAGGAATAATTTTAAGTATTGAAAGTCAGTCCTTTAACGAGCACAGCAAGCATGCCCAGACACTTGAATTATATGGACATTGTAGTTATAAGCAAATGATTGATTGACAAGATAGAAAGACAAATGAATAATAACTAAGTGTAGAAAAGTCTAATTAGTTTGTCTGGAAGCTAGTACAAGCCATGTGAGCTTAACATAATTCTTCTATACACACTAAATATTTAATTTATGGCAGCGAGAGGTCGGTCACATTCTCTTTCGGCATACAATCGTTTAAAGCATTTGTTAGTTGTGGTTTTTGTAAATTAACCATTCTAAATTCATTTTTAATGTGTACGTAGTGTTTATCAACTAGCGAATATCAAAGTACACACTGCTACAAGTATGTACGAGTAAATTTATAAAAACGCTTTGAAAGGTCGGTATAGATCCATTTTTGATTGGTTTTACGGAATATTTGAGATGTTTTATTAAAGAAATTTAATTTAGTTATTACAGGTTAGTAATCTTTGTAGTGATCTTTAATAATTCTATTTATCATTCTGCAAGGAAATCTTCTTCCTGTTGAGATCAACCAAGATGGATGAATATCTTTAGTTGTTTGAATATTTTTCATCTACAACCGAGTAAGCAATGCTGTTGTTAGGAAACGAGTACTAGGTAGGGATGGCAGATCAATAGATGAAGTGGTGAAACTTCATCACTTGAGGTGGTTGGGACATGTGTGACGAATGCCTAACCACTGACTGCCTCGACGAGCTATGTTTTGTGGTGTAGGAGTAGATTTGAAGAAAGCTAGTGGCGACCAGATCAAAACATGGTAGAAATGCATGAAGTCACTGACAAGTGGACTGAGTCATGTTGGTAGATGTAGACTACCTGGTTGGGGTCCGCGAGACGAAAGTCATCAATGGTTAGAGACCTTGAACGACATGGCTCAAAATCATTTGCAATGGTGCAAGTGCATCCACTTTTTGTGTTCTCTAAAATCCTAACCTTCCAAATTCCTCATCAGCTTTCAGTGAATTATACTTCTTAAATAACATCTTTGAATCCCTAATCTCTCCGACTACTGCTAATACTTCTACTACCTCCACTACTATGGGATTCGAATTAAGAATTTCATCTGTCTGTGTTAATGTGATATAGCAACTTGAACTGATATGAGCACGTACGTAAGTATGAAGTTTGCGTTGCTGCTGATTGATCGATGATGATGATGATGATGATGATGATGATGATGACACATGATTTTCACAAACTGTTCTTTCCCATTTTGTTTTATTGATTGTTACGGGTTATTCAGATGACCAGAATTGAATAAGAAGAGATCAACAATACACTTCTGTTTCAAGTTATTTTTTTCTGCACAAAACCTTAACAAATTTATGAACATTAATAGACACATATATTTTTAATTATGTATTATTAATGGGTATAATTTTTTCTGAACAAAACGAAAGTTTGCTAAACATTAATTTGTTCATTTGGTGGAAGAATAAAACCCAAAGAGAGAGAGAGAAAACTATAAAACAATGAAATGTTGCGGCTGTACACAATAAAAAATTGCTTTTGCAAAATGTGTATTTGGTTTAATTGCACATTTTTAAAATAGTTTTTTTTAATTTGATTTACTAAATGAACCTTAGACAATCGTGTGAAAATACAACAATCGATTGGATAAATGTTCCGTTCCAGTATATACACGAATGATCCTCCAGGGAACTGAGTAGAAAGCTTTTTGGTGGATATTTACACGTTAGCTAACACTAGGTATTGTGTGATTGCCTGAATTCAATCGATTTGTCAGTTATTTGCAGTTATCTATGAATATTATTATAAGTAGATGAGGAATAATTAAGTGGTAGTGTTTGGTTCTCTGAGCTGAATGTTTCGTTGGTTGTGAAGCTGTCATCATTGTTCTTCTACTGAACAACAATATCATCAGCACAAACAAAATAAATTGCTCAGACAGTGAAAAACACTACATAGGATAGAGTGAACAATCTCTCTTCAGCTTCGTTTATGTGAATACTAATAAGCAGTCAAATACAACATCAACGTTTCGCTTATATCAATCAATACACACCGACAATTATGGACATATATTCGATTGGGACAAATGTGGAAACACTGGGTAGGGGGAGGACAAATAACACACTAGAGAATTTTTAGGAGCTTGGCACTCAGGTCATTCAGCAATCAACAAACACATCGACATTGACACAATTTTCAATCAGCCAGGAAAAATCATAGACGACATGGGGTCGAGAAACACATCAAAAGGGGGATATAAATCAAAACAAAGGTGCAAACAACGACTGGTCAACAGCGACCAGTCAAGATCGAGGTTAACAGAACAAGATACAGGTCAAACGTGGAGAAATTCTAATGCTTCACTTTTTCTATCTGAAGTTTGTGCTGATGATGTAATTCATAAGTACAATGAAAGCTTCACAACCAACTAAACATCCAGCTCACAGAACCAAACACCACCACCACAATCATCCACCTATGCTACAAATTTTCTCCACCATCTCAATAATTAAGTATTTTTTAGTTAGACAAGCATAAGCCAAACATTTTTAATGATAGAAATATACATGTACATATAATCAATCCTAGAAGCGCTCCAGGTGGAATTTGTATTGAAGCTACTGATTCAATAAAATTGTTTATATGTTTGTTTGATTCATTGTCTATAACTAGGATTATCATTAAAATAATCAGTAGTATTTATCCTTTTATTTTTCACAGTTTACATAACAAAAACACAAACACACAGGAGGAATAATTATGCTTATTTTTTTTTAATTTACTTGAAATGATATTTTTTTGAATAATTTATTTTCTCCGATAAATTTTAATTATTATGATGATTCAGTTAAGAAATGTGGATAAGATAACTTTTCTATAGTTTAGTGTAACTGCTTTTTTTGTAACAAATAAAAATTGAACGTTTTTAGGTGTTTTGTTAATGGGTTCCTGATTAGTGTGACTAATTCCACGTACTCCTCCTGTCTGACTTGTTCGTAACAGCATGAAAACTTTTTATGCAAAGTTTTTTGTTCACTATATCCGACCATCTAATATCTCAGTCAGAAAGTCAGTTGCAACGAAGAACTTCGTACGTATGTACATAAGTTCATGTTTCCATACAACATTAGCACAGAGACGCAAATATCAAATCAAATCCCATAGTGATAAAGATAGTAGAGGTATTAATGGTAATGAAGAATAGTAGGGTTTGAAGATATTATTCAAGAAGTATAATTCAGTGAAATAAGGTTAGAAAGACAAAGGTAGGGGTGTTGACGAATACAGAAGACAAGGATTTGAGAGAGCTCAATGAATGGATGCACTTGCGCAATCGCAAACGATTTTGAGCCATGCCGTCCAAGGTCCCTAACCATTAGTGACTTTCGTCTCGTGGACCTCGACCAGGTAGTCAACACCTACCAACATGACTCAGTCCACGTGTCAGTGACTTCATGGATTTCTACCATGTTTTGGTCTGGCCACCGCTAACTTTCTTCCAATCTACTCCTGCACCACAAAACATAGCTCGTCGAGGCGGTCAGTGGTTAGGCATACGTGTTACATGTCCCAATCACCTCAACTGATGAAGTTTCACCACTTCATCTATTGATCTGCCATCCCTACCTATAACTCATTTCCTAACAACAGCATTGCTCACTCGGTTGTCCCACGATATACGAGCAATGCTTTGGAGACATCGATGATCGAAGACTAGTAACCTACGAACATCTTCTACTCTTGACGGCCATGTTTCGCATCCATATAGGAGAACGGAGCGAACTGCTGCGCAGTACACCCGTCCTTTGGTTAGCGAACGGTGTAGTTCGTATGATGTCCGATTACTTCAATTAGTAACCAGACTGCAACTGGATCGATTGTATTACTACAGCGATAGACGCACATGTCGAACATATCACTCTTCAATTGCTAATTGATTAATAAATAACTCATTTGAACAGGAGGTTAGCTGTTTACTAAATAACGTAATGGTAACTTCTTGAACTATCATACTGAATGAAATTATTTCAAATCCTATCACAAACATTGATTCAGTTGAAGATTACAGACAAACTTTAATCAATCAATGTCAACTAACACAATACGACATAATGAATATTTTTTTTCTAATGAGCGTATTAATGCACTGATGTGCTTTGTAAAGTGGACATTTCACGTTTATATTTCACTGAAATAATTTTCAAAGTAAATTTTCAAGCAATTGAAAATAACTCAACAAAAAAAAACATCAAATTATCGTTTAATGTTTAAAATCTATGGATTCAAGTGTTTAGAAACTAGAAATAGATGTTTATTCTACAAACTACTTATTAAGCCTTTTAGTTAAAAGATAACTGAATCTAACCAAAAGTGTACAAATTTTCGGGCAGAGTTTTGGAGGTTTGTGTTTTTACACATTTGAAATCATCAATCAATCATTGTTAGACCAGCACCATCAGAAACCTGGAAGCACTGAAAGACGGCCGTTTCGTCATGCTATGGGATTCATCAGTGTCAGTGCGCATCCACGAATCCTGCACCTTGCAGGATTCCAACATGGGAGCTTCGGCATTGTGCACGAGCGCCTAACCATCGGACCACTGGGTTGGCATCCAACGGTGTTACTGCCTTCACCCGACAGGGTTGAACTGTATATGTCACACCTCTTCTCAACTAGAACTTCTAATGGTGGTCTAACAATGATTGATTGATGATTTCAAATGTGTATGAACTGTACAGTTCAGTATTAGACTGGAAGAAAGAAGCCCACTGGTATTTTTTTTGAGAGAGAGATACCTATTTCCTTTTTATTTTAGTCAAATTAATTAAACTTAAAGTCAGCTTTGTTAATAGTCTAATTGTATTTCTTTTTAAATTGTTATTTTGTTTATTTTTACATAGATTCAAGTATCTTGTAGACCAACATTTCGTGAAGCATTTATTCATGATTATCGTAATGAAAAATTAGTAAGTAATCACTATCTTTCAGATTCTTTCTATATGTATATATACATAGTTTACTGTTCATACAATATTAACTTTACCGAAGGTCCTAGGTTCGATTCCTGCAAATAGCGGTGGTCTTGGATGTGAACTGCTGTTAAGTTTTATTCTACAGTGAAATGGCCATCCAGTGTTTTTCCAGGATTCTAAAGGTGTTCCAAACTTAAATCGATTCATGTTTGTTTGAGAAGGTCCTGGGTTCGATTCTTGCAGGTGGCAAGGGTCTTGGATGGGCACTTATGATAAGTTTCAAACAAGGATGAAATGGTTATTAAGTGTTTATCATCAGCATTCTAATAAGTGGTCTGACATTGATTGATCGAGAAAAAAATGCAAGTACAAACGTTTAGTGATTATAAAGATTAAGATTTTCAGATGGTGTAGAAAATTTTGTAGTTCAGGTGGATGAATGACGATGGTGAAAATTCATTTTTTATTTTGAGCTGGATGCATGTTTCAATTGTGCATCATTCATTCATGACAAACAATGATATGAAAGCTACACACAATGAAAACATCCAGTACAGAAAACAAAACTTGACCAAATAAAAAATTATGTGTATTTATTTACTTACTTACGCCTGTCACCCACAATGGAGCATAGGCTGCCCACCAGTCTTCTCCAACCAACTCTCTCTTGGGCTTCCCTTTCCAGTTTTGTTTAATTTTTGTTCATTCCCCTCATATCTTTCTCTATTTCTCGATGTAATGTGTTCTTTGGCATTCCTCCTTTCCTTTTGCCTTCAGGGTTCCATGTGAGGGCTTGCTCGTGACGCAGTTAGGTGCTTTTCGTAGTGTGTGTCCTATCCCCTTCCACCACTTCTTCCTCGTTTCCTCCTCCGTTGCAGTTATCTGGTTTGTTCTCTCCCACAGTTCGTTGTTTCTGATGGTGTCTGATAAACGAATTCGAAGTATTTGCATAGACATTTGTTAATAAACACTTGTATCTTCTGGATGATGGCTTTGGTAGTTCTCAAAGTTTCTGCTCCAGTAAGACAGTAGAACTGTCTTGACATTTTTATTGAAAATCCTGACATTTTTGTTTTGGTTGAAAGTTGTTTGGAGTTCCAGATATTTTTCAACTGTAGAAATGCAGTCCTTGCTTTTCCAATCCGCACTCTCACATATGCATCGGATCCACCTTGATTGTCGATGATGCTGATAAGACATGTAAAGGTATTAACGTCCTCCAAGGCACCTCGATCAAGAGTGATTTGGTTGGTACATTTTGTGTTGAAAGATAAAACTATGTATTGGTGTCAAGTTGAGATGAAATACACTTTCTTTTTGCTTAGGCGATGTTTAAACAAAAAATGGTTTTCACTACATTTCATGATTAGCTAGATGATGGTAATTAAGAAGCATAGAGGATTGAATGAGTATTCAGTTATCAAACTCTTAAAAGATTCATACCCTCAAGTATAATAAAGAAAATTTAAGCTTAATCATGACAGCATAAGATTGAAAGTATTTATTTACTGTTGACTGAGATGCACATTTTTTTAATTTCAGTCGACAACCTGCAATTTTAGACAACCAGTCAGTATCACCGCTGACTGGAAGTACTCCAGAGTAGTGAGTACACACAAGCCTAAATTCATGACTCGAACGCAAGATTTTTGGTTTCATACAAACGTCTGACTTTGATAACATTGACCCGGGCTCCTCCACTTTGGTAATTTAAGTCAACTTTTTACGATATTCTAAAATCTCCATCGATTGACTGGATTGGATAACTGTCTCATACTCAACATAGTCAAGTCAAGCTCGTGTTACGTCTTCTCATCGATGTTCTAATTAAATTTATTTGTTAGCTTAAATCATTACCTTAAACCATTTTTCAGTACAATACGAAGAAAGTTCTTCAAAACAGTTGTTTTTCATAAAAATTATGCTTACCATGGTTTAACTTGACAATTCCAATGAAATTAAAGTTTGAACTGATTGTGAAAAATCTCAATAAGTAGAATTTTAATCAATAATGCATAATTGTTCATATGACTACTAGGAATGATGTAAGGTTCAAAATATTGCTCAAGTCGAAAACAGCCGATCGTCATTTCAAATCTATGAAACAAAAGGAAAATCTTAAATTTTAATGATTAAAATATTTCACTGTGTTTATTGCAATATCAAAATCAACTTGGATATCGAATAGCTGATCTTTTTCCTTGAATTCAATTTAAATCACTGATTTAATATCAAGGAATTTAGGTGGTTCGGGCGTGTATTACGAATGTCCAACCACTGACTTCGTCGGTGAGCGATGGATGATGCATGGTTTAGGGGTTGGTTGAAAGAAAGCTAAGGGAGCCAAACCAAAACATGGCATAAATCCAATGATAGGTGTGTGGTGTGCAAATTATCACAAGTTTCGTGATGGTTGGTATTCAACGTGTTTTCTTAGGCTTTGTAATTAGCGCGTTCAGACAAGCGTTAATAAATAAATCAGAAAGTGAACGAACTCAAAGTGTTGAATACGTTTATTCTTGACACACCGCAAATAGATCAGCAAACTACAAGCACTCAAAGATAAAATTGTCATGTGAGCGCTGGAAAGCAAGCGAATTGGCGAATGAATGGATGAAGCTAAGGAGAGAAGGCTAGTGAGCCAACTCCGAGAGATAAAGCATGACTAAGAATTTATAGTTAGACAAAAATAAGACAGACATGTAAAAAGTGAAATAGGCATGCACATACATGAATACAAGCTACAAATGAGTGATAAGGTCAAAAGACAAATGGGACAAGTCATGCGAGCTAGATACTGAATGACCCACTACAGGTGTGCACTACCTGCTTGGGGTCTGCGGGACGTGGCTTAAAATTGTCTGCAGTGGCACAGGTGCATCCACTGTTTATGTTCTCTCAAATTCTAATCTTTTGAATCCCTCACTACCTTTTCTTCTCTCTCTCTCTTTTTAAATTGATTTTCAAACCATAATCTTCTTGATTACCGCTAATACTTTCACTACCTCTACTACTATGAGATTTGAATTGGCAATTCGATCTCTGTGTGCAAATGTGTTAAAGCACCTTGAACAATGATGTGCGTACACGTATAAAGTTCTACGTTGTAACTGACCAACTATCAAGGGATTCATCTAACTTAATCGTCTAATGAACTAAGCTGTACTTAAAAATATCAACATAGACAGTAGGCATTTTATAATCTCTTCAATAACCAATCATCAAATTCGTTTCATTTTCACAATTATTTACACAATAATATTCAACTGTTCTCATTTCCAAATCATAATGTTTATACTTCACATAGTAGAATAATCCTGACAATCTGACCAATTCTCATATAAATTCACGTTTGAAAAAAAATTTAACAAAACACAATTGGTTTTCTGTTATTTATGTGTTTTGAAATTTGTGCCTGTTCAATATTCAATTTCAATATATCAATCAATCAGCTGTGATTGAATTGTGAGAATGATGAATTGAATTTTTTCAAATAAATATCCGATTGTTACAAGAAGTGAAAGCAACAATAACAACAAATATAAAAAACAAATTGTTTCAATTGTACAAATTCGCGTGTTACTACTCATTTGAAATGTTTGAAATGAAATGCAGAATTTGTTTACAACTGAGAATAAAGGAAGAAGAACAACAACAATATGTATCATCATTGATATCATGAATCGATCAATGTTTAGACAACTGTTGGAAATCTGAGATTCATCATCGTCCATGCGCATCCATGCACGCCACACGCAGGAATCGAACATAGGACCTACAGTATCATACACCAGTTGCTTGAACTGTTGAGCAGTAGGGTCCTATTATTTTGAATATGAGGCAGGTGTACCTACTGAATACAATGTTAGACAATTGTTGGAAACGTAGAAAAACATTGTATAGTCTTTTCATTCTAGTATGAGAACTATTAGCATTGAGCATACACTTACCCCGCATGCGGGAATCGGATAAAGGACCTTCAGTCTAGTCTACAAATGCCTGACTTCTTGAAAGGTGGAGTTCACTTGTTTCGAGTATGATGCATCTACCTACCGAATACAACGGTCGATAGTTGATTCATATTTGATATTCTCATTGTGATCTAAGGCTTTAGAGTTCGTTTGCAAGATTGAAGATCCTGTGCTGGAAACCAGCGTACAGGGTTGTGAATGCACATTGCTGACAAGCCCCATAATGAAACAAAACAGTTGTCGCATGACTTCAGGTTTCCAAAAGTGTTCTATCAACGATCAATTTGATGACTTCATTGAAACTGAAATAACTCTCCGACTGTTTATCAACCACTAGTTGAGTAGAACTGTCAAGAAACTATTCTAATCACAGATTTCCATTTGATTTCATATATTAACTTCAATGGTGTCTTAAAATGGATAAAACAAATTTTATTTTTCAAGTTTCTTTTCTCTGCCTTTCTTCCTCATTTTCTATATTATCATAACACACTTCTTATCAATAAATAAACAGTGTCAGTGAATTTCTCTCATAAATTATTAACAAAAGTTTAAATGACTTACTCCCATAAGAATTATTTATTGTGTTGTATAGTGTGGTTGCTCGAATAGAGAAAAACAAAACACCCTTCAATTAATCGTTGCTGATATTATTGATTGCTGTCGCTGCTGAGGTTGTTGTAGGTTGTTGTTGTTGTAGGTGTGAGCAATCAAAACTCTTGCAATCGATACCGATCGTATTTGTTATGTAACCGTATCGTTGTTCTTTTCGTGAAAGATTAAAAAAACTAACCGAATATTTCAGCCATATTACGATGGAGTTGAATGGAATGTTAGAAATTTAAAATAGCCTAGACATAATCCATCCCTTGTCGATGATTACATCATTGATTTTGATGAATAAACCATAAATTTTGAGGAGAAAATTTGTAGATCAGTTGGATGAAAGAGTGTTATGGAGTTTCCTTCTCTGAGCTGGATGCTTTTTGTTGTGGAGCTTTCATTATCTATCTTCTTCTGAACAACAACACACACATCGTCAGCACAAAATTCAAACAGAAGAAGTGAGGTATACGAATTTCTGCATGTATGACCAGTAGCTTGTGTTCTGTTATAACATCGATCTTGATGGGTTGTTGTTGTTGTTGACCTCTGACCCGTTGTTGCTTGCACTTTCGAATACCTCACTTCTTCTCCTTCTTCCACCTGAAGTTTGTGCTAACGATGATGTTATACAAAAGAAGATCGATGATGAAAGCTTCACAACCACGACAAACAAAGCTCAGAGAATGAAACCCCATCACAATTTATTTCGAGATAACTCATTACGACAAACAAGACAAAACTACCATTGATAGCAATGTGATAACAGAAACCAAAAAAGTATTTTTTAGATAACGAAGTTAAGTCATTAATAACAGTTAATTCTGTTATATCGGTTTTTGTGATTCAAAGTAAAACCGATTAGTGATTGACTTTGATTAATATAATTAATCTTTATACGCAGATCAATTTTTCTTTTAAATTTCCGTTTCGTAAGCTAATGTAATTGTATCCTTTTGTTGCTGACAGTAATAGAACTCATCAGCAGTATGCATCCACGACTCATGCTACTCGTAGGGTTCAAAGCTAGAGCCGCTGGTCTTGCGTGAGTAGTCCAGAGATTAGGCATTCGCGTGCAAGACCGAAGATCCAGGGTTCTATTCCTACGACTAGCATGAGTCGTAGATGAGCATTGCTGACGAGACCTGTACCAAGATGAAACGGCCATCCAGTGCTCGCAGGTTTCTCATGATCGTCTAGCGATGATTGGTTCATGATTTCAATACGAATAGAATATTAGTGATATGATAAGTTAAACTATGGAAAACAGAGATTCACACCCGAGAAGGGTTCGGCTCCACTGGTCACGACTTCTCAGTAGAACTCGGAGAAGCTTCCTCATGCAGCTAGTCATTAGTAAGCATACGTTAATTTACATTATCGGGTTGTGTAGATTGTACAGTCCTTTCGAAATCATGAATCAATCAATGTTAGATAACCACTAAAAAACCTCGAAACTTAGGATGGCCATTTCGTCATGGTGTGAAGTGATGGATGTACACTGTTGATGAGTCCCACGCCAGAACGAAGTGTCCATTCAGTCATTCAACACTGACCACAACCCTATTATAATGCAAGTAAACATGATAGGACAAATATTTATCAGTTCATGTTTATTGTGAGTCAATAATCACAATGAAATGAATTACGTAACTACACCTGGTGGGTGAAATTAGAAATCGACAGTAGGAAGACAGTAATGAAAGAATAATAATAATAAGATACGATAACTAAACTGTTTCTCAGCAGTTCAACATTGCAAATAGTAGTAGGTGAGGCTTGGATAATGTCTAACTCTGATTGATCTAGGGATTGTGCGCGACCTCACCCATTTGTCTTCGGTAGTTACTGCCTACACCCGACAGGGTTGAACTCCACTGGTCACGTTGGATGCCGGCCCAGTGGTCCACTGGTTAGGCGTTCGCGCACAATACCGAAGGTCCCGGGTCCGAATCCTGCCAGGTGCAGGAGTCGTGGGTGCGCACTGCCACTGATGAGTCCCATACCAGGACGAAACGGCCGTCCACTGCTTCCAGGTTTCTAATGATGATTGATGATTTCAATGTGTCAAAAACACACTAATCTCCATAACCCTAATTGAAAAGACTTAAAACACTGATCATCATCACAAAGCTTGATTAGAATGACGTAATAAGTAGAGTGTATCGTAATTAGATGATCAGACCTATAAACGGAAGCTGGCGAACAAAAGTTACAAACAAATACAGGATGTGAAAATGTTACTACAAAGAATAATAATAATAACAATAATATTAATGAAATAAGATGTATCTTAGAGCAAATATTTATCAGTTCACATTGTTACAAATTTCATATGAAAATAGAGAAATAAATCAGTTTTTTAAAAAGGATGTATAAATAATCGAATCAAAATACAAAAAAAAAATTCACTATGTTGATAGAATACAAACTATTGATAGATAATGCAGTCCGATGCAGAGAACTGAAAAAAAACTACAGAGTGAAAGATACAGTTGTTTACTAGCTAAATGTCTACACCTTATATCCAGATTGCCATTATGCAAAGCAAGCAAAACATTATCATCTTGTGTGCGAATGCTTAACCACAGAATCACTGAGCCGGTATCTAACGGTGTTAATCATTGACTTCGATCAGTCTAAAGGTGTCTCCGATGAGCACTGCTTCACAACTGATCAGGGTTGAACTCCATTGATGACGACTTCTCACTAGAATTCGAAGAAGATTCCTCATGGAGGTAGTCACTAGTGATCCAGGTGATTTGCGCTATAGGGTTTCGGAGATTGTTGAGTTACTTTGATGAAATTATGAATCGACCAATGTTAGATCACTATTAGAAACGTGCAATCGTTGGACGCACTACTGATGAGTCTTATACCAGTACTGGACGGTCGTTCAGTCCTTCACGTTTTCCAACGGTGTTCTAACATTAACTGATTCATGATTTCAATGAAGTAACTCAGCTTTCTCCACAACGGCATAATGCATAATATTGTACATCATCTTTCACATATCTTCTGATTGTTAAAACTCGTTGATCATGCCATTTTATTCGAAACTGACAATCTTCTCTTGGGTGGCAAGTTCTGGGCGATATTCGGCTGAAATTATTAAGGAGATCATCATTATTATAACTGAAATACTTATCAACTATGAGAACAAATAATCTTCGGTTTATATTGTGGCCTGACTAAATTTTTAAAATTTGGACCATTGGTGTTGAAGTGAATGGTCGACAAGTGACAAATATCACATGGCCTGTAGGTTATGAGTTTGATTCAGTGTGTAATCATGCATGTTGACACGTCTCGACTTGAAACACTTGATAATGACTTCTTGACTACTTTCTCCTGCTCCCAGACTACTCTAACACATTTGAACCGGACAGTAGAGAAAACGCGAGAAGTAGGAATGAAAGCTTTACAATCCGGTTGATATGTGTATAGAGAGTAAGCTTGTTTATAGATTCATAAATGGCCTCAACCATGTAAATTTTTTTTTGGTAATCAGTTAAATGTGGAAACACTATATGTAATCATCTAATCAAAATGTAACACATGTTCTTTCTCTTTTTATTATAAATGGTTCTTGAGAATTTTATTATCCATATAGGATAGGATTAAAAACGTTTTTAACATTTTCTAAAACTTTTGGAGTCTTTGAAACTGGTAACTGGTAGGTAACTACTGCTGTTTTTAAAACAAACATCCCGGTAGATTTAGGTTGAAATTGTGATAAATAAATAATCTTTAAACTTCAAACCATTTAATAATGTGATGGCATTTCATTCTCGAATCTGGATCTTTTGATTGTGCAGCTTCCATCATTGTTCTGCTTCTGAACAACAACATCATTGTCAGCGCAGACGTCAGATATAAAAGTGAAGTTTTCGAATTTCTCCACATATGACTCAATAATAACCAATCAAAATCGAGGTTAACGCAAGAAGCTACTGGTTAAACGCGGAGAAATTGGAATACTTCACTTCTTCTTCTACCTGAAGTTTTTGTGCTGATGATGATGTTGTGTTCAGAAGAAGAAAAATGATGAAAGCTTCACAACCGAAACATCCCCAGTTTAGAGAACGAAACTCCATTACAAAAATGTTTTTAACATTTTTATAAGCGTTTGGAGTTGTTGGAACTCTTAACTGGTACTATACTAATGATATTTTCAGTTATGCTCGTCACTTGATATGCTTGAATCTATTACGAGTTCACCTTAGTCGATAAGTGAGAACGAGACAATGAACCATTGACACACTAGGCTATTCTAATCCGTTGTCTCCAGCCCGGCTAACAATATCAAGAAGTCTTGATAAAGCGTAGAAAGTATTTTCTACAAACACCCAGCAAGCACAATACAATCAAGCAAACAAATCGTGTTTATTTATACATCATAGAAACGTCCTTTGGAGAGCTACAAAATAGCATACTGAAATAACATATCAACCAATCGCAGCTAATGAGTCTCCTGGTGGGAAATGTGATCTCAAGGTCAACTGATCAGGCCGTGGGCATAAAATCCAAAATCAAGACCTTTATCAAGCGAGTTCTAGGGGTTCCAACGTTCTCAACATTTTCAAAACAAACAGCCCTACACCATATCCCAGTATTTTTAGGTTAAATTAAGCCGAAAAAACAATCTTCAAAACTTTTAATCATTGATGGCGAGTGTTTCATTAACTTATCGATGTGAATAAAAACAAACTAAGCTTCATTGTCACATAAATGTCTTTTATTATTTTTGTCAATGACAATTGTGTTTGTGATTTGCTGATTTTTAACCTTTCTTAAGGACAAACAGAAAAAAACGTAAAGGACTCCTGCAACCCGCAGGATCCGAACTCAGGACCTCTGGTATTGTGCGCGAACGCCTAACCACTGGATCACTGACCTGGTATCTGACAGTGTTAATGTCTAACTTCGACCAATTCACGGAGTTGCGCAACCTCATACACAGTCTCCGTGAATTAATCAAGTTAGACATTAACATCGTTAGATACCAGCTCAGTGGTCCAGTGGTCAGGCGTTCGTGCACAATACCAGAGGTGCTGGATTCGGATCCTGCAGGGTGCAGGAGAGTCGTGAATGCGTACTGCTGATGAGCAGTCCCATACCAGGACGAACCGGCCATATTTCAGTGCTTCAGGTTTCTTCTAATGGTGGTGGCCTAACATTGATCGATTCATGGTTTCAGAAAGAAATGTGTAACTTAACCATCTTCACAACCCCGTAATGCATAGTTTTTTCTCACATAAATAAATTACCTGTAATTTATGTGAATAAGAGTGTTTTATTTCTTTTTGTCAATTTTTTCCGACTTGTACTTCATAATCAATTATTCATCATTCTGTTTTTTCTATTTTTTTTTCGTATCCTTTCTATATAAAAGTGTACAACACATCATTGGATTAAACGAAGGAAACAAAATAAGAAATGTAAACATTGTGGAAAAGTAGGTTTTTTCTCTTTTCTGTTTTGTGTGTGTGTGTGTTGGTGGTGTCTTTTTTTTCTAGTGTATTTTCATCTCCTTTCTTTTTTAATTATTGTTCTAATTTGTTTATGATTTTGAATTGTTCGAAACTGTCAAGTTGAAATGATTTCAGTACATCCTAATGAACATTGGTAGTGTTTAGATACGAGGGTCAAAGTTTGGTCTGATTACTGTTTTTTTACAGATTACTGTACTTACTTACTTACTTACTTACTTACTTACTTACTTTCTCACTCACTCACTCACTCACTCACTCACTCACTCACTCACTCACTCACTCACTCACTCACTCACTCACTTACTTACTTACTTACTTACTTACTTACTTACTTACTCACTCACTTACTTACTTACTTACTTGCTTACTTACTTACTTACTTACGCAGCTTTCTTACGCAGCTTGCTTACTTACGCAGCTCACTTACTTACAACTCTTACCTCGAAGAGAGCATAGGGCTTGCGACCAGCATTCTCAAACTTACTCTGTCCTGGACCTTCTTTTTCATTCCTTCTCAATTTCTATTGATTCTTTGGATGCCTGTTTTCAGTTCTCAGCCTAATGTCTTCTTTGGTCTACGTCTTTTCTTTGACCTTGAGGACTATAAGTGGGAGTTTGCCTTGTGATACAGTTTGATGCCCCCTGCAATGTGTATTTGATCCACCTCATTATTTTATTCAGAATATGCAAATCTGAAACATGTATCATCTAAAATTGCTGTTTGTCAATTGGTAACACTCATCCGATTCACTGAGAATCATCATTTCACTTCCGTTTCCTGTTGCGTCTATGTATGTGTATGTTAATTCAAACGGATACACATTAATTGCATGATGTTTCAGCTTCTTTCATGTATCACTTATTATCTGTGTTTATTTATTCTCATTATCCCTATATATTAAAAAATAACATACCGAATACGTGCTAGCTAATCTGTTGTGGAGTAATTTATAAAAAGTAGTTTGATACTATTGCTAATGTAGTGTGCCAACTTGAACTGATGTACGTGCGTACGAAGCTCTACGTTGCTGTTGATCGATTATTTGGTTGATTGATGAGTACGATACTGATGATTGTTGTTATTCATAAACTAGTGTTGGGGACGTTAGATCCCCAGAACGCGCTTGAGTAATGTCGTGATTTGGATTTCACCTTCCCCAGCATTAGCTGATCAGTTGATTTTGAGATTCCATTTCCCACCAGGAGAATTCATGGCTGTGATTGGCGGCTGTGTATTCTAATGTGCTATATTTGTGACTCTCTCAAGGACGTTTGTATGACGTATTAATAAACGAGATTTATATACTTGATTGTATTGTGCTTGGAAATATGTTACGTATGCCTAATCACCGACTGCCGTGACGAGCTATGTTTTGGGGTGTAGGAGTAGGTTGGAAGAAAGCTAGGGGCGACCAGATCAAAACACGGCACAAATCCATGAAGCCATTGACAAGTGGATTGAGTCATGTTGGTAGATGTAGGCTACCTGGTTGGGATCCGCGAGACGAAAGTCACCAATGGTTAGATACCTTGAACGACATGGCTCAGAATCGTTTGCGATTGCGCAGGTGCATCCACTCTTTGTGTGCTTTTTAATTTCAACCCTCTGAATTCCTCATAATCTCTCTCTTTCTCCTCCTAAGTTTATCTCACTGAATAATACTTCTCAAACCATATCTTCGCTCCCTAATCTTCTTCATTGCTCCTAATAATTCTACTATCGCTATCACTTTTGGATTTAAAGTGACAGTTACGTCTCTGTGCTGACGTGATATGGCAACCTGAAATGATGTACTTACGTACGAAGTTCTGCGTTATATCTTTCTGTCTGTCTTGTATTGTGCTTGCTGGGTGTTTGTAGAATACACTTTCTACGCTATATCAAGACTTTTGATTGGCAATTGGATTAGGGTAACATACCTTGACGCTGGTTTATTGTCTCGTTCTCGTTTATTGACTAAGGTGAACCTGTAATAGTTTCAAGCCTACCTAGTGATGAACCTAACAAAACTCAGTTTTAGAAATAATAAAACCGTTTAATTCAATATGAAAAGGTTTGGATTAGCCCTCTGACGATATTTCGACTGAAATTCGATCAGTATCTTAGTTGGTAAATGGATATCTTCAGAGGATTGTCATTATGACACAAATTTACACAGAACAGAACTAACATTCATAACTGTTGCACAAGGGAATAGCTATCTGAAATCAGCTGCTAAATGCATAACACGTTGTCATTTAGGTTTGAGTCCCTGAGTAGACATTAATTCTTAGATACAAGTACATTCAGTCGACAAGTCCCGAAACGCGTGTCTTTGATTCCAAGTCTAACCACATTCTCTGTATGTATTCAATGTTATGCTTAGATAAGTGTTCATTTAAATTGTTGGTTAGGCAGACCTACAAAAAACTTTAATAAAAAAATTTGCTCATCAAGTCATTTATCGAGAGTCTACAGTCGGTGCAGTCATTCCATACCATACTAGCACACGGAGGCGCACACAAGACTAAATATCATTAGTGTCTTAAACACCCAAATAATTCAATCGAAAACTATTCTTTTGATATTTCAAATGAAATTACTCTAAAATAATTATGGCAATATGATTGTATAATGCACATGTGTTCCCCTTGTTCTTTAAAGAAATAGTAGAGAATTACTTTAAAATTTATCAATAAAATATAAAAATTCGAAGATGTGAACAGATAGAAGTGGGAAGAAAACCGATTGTAAACATTTACAGATTAATTGCAATCAGCGGCTAATCACTTACTTACCTACTTAACAATCTTTTTTAAATGTATGCTGTTTCTGGAATATTTACATGATGAATTTTTGATCACATTGGAATGTTGTGCTCACACTTTCTTAGGACTTCCTTTCCAATTGTATCCGATTCTTGTGAACTCTTGTCAAGTCTGGTTTCGAGTGCTATATTCCTTTGGCCATGAGCATTTAAAGTCCGTACTTGACATGTGATGCGACTGTATGACTTTCACAATATGTGTCCTATCCAGCTGCAGCGTTTTTTTTTCCCAATTTCTTCTTCAGATGGAGGCTTGTTGGTTGTCTCTCACAGTAGGTTTTTGCTGATGGTATCTAGTCAACAGATCCATAGTATTTTGTGTAGATAACTGGTAGCAAACACTTGTATCTTGTGCATGATGGCTCCAGAGATTCTCCAAGTGTTCACTTCAGTCAGTAGAATGATATTGAATTAGACGAATAAAATTGCTGATAAGAGAATAATTCTTGATAGTGAAGTCGATTAAAGCTTTTCGGGTGTGAAACAGTGCTCACCGAAGATAGTGTATGAGGTTGCGCAAGACTGTTGATTGATCGAAGTTAGACATTAACACCGTTAAAACTGGTTCAGTGGTCTAAACGTTAGGCGTTCTCCCACAAGACCGTAAGTTCTGTGTTCGAATCCTGCATGCAGCTGGAGTTGTGAATGTGCATTGTTGATGAGTCCCATGGTGGGATGAGATGGACGTCCGGTGTTTCCAGTTGTCGAATGATGGTTCGATCGATTCAAGATTTCAATAAAATTTATTTCGTAAGTTTATTATTATCCCCCCTCTATTCATCAAGTAGCGTGAGCCGAAATAGTTTATTCATTCGGTGATTTCAAGTGTTGTCAAATAGTTGATTCAGTACTAGTTTACACATACATTGCTCTTGCTGCTCAATATTGTTTTCAAGCATATCAACTAGTTCATCATAAGAACTAATGAGTTGTTGTGTAACCAGTTGCAAACTACCCGTTTGGGCAGTTACAAACTTCCCCCGGGGTAACACTGCTCTGAATCATTCCAATATTGTTCAGATGTATGCACTCGGTAAATTTGTTTAGACTGAGTCGCAATCCTTTCTTAATATTTAATGAATGTCTTTTTCTTTCGTAGAATCTCTTTTCGCTGTAGTTATTCTTCATATTCAATTTTTCCTACTAACATTATGACTACTTTGTTATTTCTTATTGCTTTTGTGATCGACTGAGTTAATCTTATGTATGGTCGTGATATGATCGTTAATTGATATGCTTGAATGTTATTACGAGTCTGCCTTACTCGGTAAACGAAACGAAGAGAAATGACTCAGTGATACGATAGGCTATTCTAATCTGTTTGTCCTCATGCCCGGCTACCTAAATCAAGACGTCCTCATAAGGTGTAGAAAGTGTATTCTACAAGTCCCCAGAAAATACGAGGTTACTAAGCACACAAATCAGGCTTATTTATACAATGACAAAGATGCCCTTCGGAGAGTCACAAAGTAGTCTACTACAAAAATCCATCAACCAATGAAAGTCAATGATTTTCCGAATGGGAAATGTAAGCTGTAGGCCAACTAAAAGCGTCTCTTGGCGCTAAAACATGATAATTCAAAATTTCAGAAATAAATTACAAAATTTGGACCTTTTCAGAAGCGATTTCTGGGGATCGAACGTCCCCAAGAAGTTAGTTTGTTAATTTTGGTTAGATGAATATATGTATACAGTTATTTGTAAGTATATATATATATATATATATATATATATATATATATATGTATATATATATGGTCAGTCAGTCAGATACAACGTAGAACTTCCTACGTACGTACTTCAGTACAAGTTGCCATAGCACATCAGAACAGACAGGCAATTGTCAATTCAAATCCCATAGTGGTAGAGATAGTAGAAGTATTACCATTAATGGCGAAGATTATGATTTGAAGATAATATTGAAGAAGTATAATTCAGTGAGATAAGTTTAGAGGGACAAAGGTAGAGGTGTTGATGAATCCAGAAGATTAGGAGTTGAGAGTACACAAAGAGTGGATGCACCTGCGCCATTGTAAACAACTTTTAGCCATGTCATTCAAAGTCTCTAACCGTCGATTATTGCTACTTCGTGGGTTCCAAACAGGTAGTCGACACCTACCAACATGACTCAATACACTTGTCAGTGATTTCATGGATTTGTGCCATGTTTTGGTCTGGCCGCCCCTAACATCCTTCCAGCCTAAACCTGTACCACAAAATATTGCTCTTCGAGGCAATCGGTGGTTAGTCATTCGTAACACATATCGCAACCACCTCAACTGATGAAGTTTCACTACTTCATCTATTGATTTGCCATCCTTACTTAGCACCCGTTTCCTAACGACAGCATTGCCTGCTTGGCCGTCTCATGATACACAAGCAAGGCTTCTAAGATATCTGTGGTCGGATACTAGTAACCCACGAATGTATATATATTATTAATACACATTTTGAAACCATGAATCGATCAATGTTAGACCACCATTTAAAACCTGGAAGCACTGAACTGCCTTTTCATCCTGGTATGGGACTCATCAGCAGTGCGCATCCACAATGGTGAGTCGCATACCAAGACGAAACGGCCGTCTTTCAGTGCTTCCAGGTTTCTTTTAATGGTAGTGGTCTAACATTGGTCGATTCATGGTTTCAAAATGTGTAACTCAACAATCCTCACAACCTCGTAATGATATTACTATTAGTCATTAAAAGCATCATATTTTTTATTTATTTATCAACATAATTTCATTTGTCATGCCTCAATAACATATAAATTATTATTATTATTATTGTTATTAATATTATTATTAATATTGAATAACAATGTACGTCACTACTACAATTACCTATGGCTTGATTACGTCATTGATAGATAGAATGGGAATCATTGAGAGGGGAGGCTGGGGAGTGGGGAAAAAAAAGCAGAACAGAACACTTGCTCTTGTTTTTCCATTCTGTTCTGTCCTTTTTTTTGTTTTGTTCAATGAGTAAAAAAGCAAATTAAATTGTCTCTTCATATAATAATAAGTAAGAGAAATTGATGAACTTAATTAATGTTGAAGTTGAAACTCTTTGTTTGCGTACGTCATCTTTTCATTACGGGTTTGTGAAAATTGAGTAAGTTACACATTTTTTGAAACCATGAATCGATCAGGGATAGACTACCGCCATTAGAAACCTGGAAGCACTGAAAAACGGCCGTTAGGCGTTCGCGCACAATACCGAAGGTCTTGGGTTCGAATCCTGCGGGCTGCAGGAATCGTGGATGCGCACTGTCAGTTATGGGTCCCATACCAGGACGAAACGGCCATCGTCCAGTGCTTCCAGGTTTCTTCTAATGGTGGTGGTCTAACATTGATCGATTTATGATTTCAAAAATGTACATCATCTTTGTTTCCTTTTGTTTTTTCTTCGCAGTAATGGCGTTGTGTTGTGATCGCAGTGGTCTTTGTGTGGTGCATGTCATACATATTGTATATATGTATATCTATATGTATACCACCTGTGTGTATGTTTCCCTAAAACCCATATCCAGCCTATAGAGAGAGCGAGAGAGATAGTAGCCACAGAGAAATGTAAACATAATAAGGTTAACTTTGTGCTCATACAGAAATTTAACGGTTCCCACTAGAAGAACACAGAGAATGCTACAACAATTCGATCGCCATCAGGCTTCATTCTCCAAATATACATGAATATCAAAGCAATTCGAGTCAATAATCACAATGAAATAGAGGTTACGTAACTTTACACCTAATAGGTAAAAGTATAAGCTGATAGTAGGAAGGCAGATGTACTGTTAGTAGTTAAAAATCAGATACGATAGCAAAAGTTTTCGTCAATAGTTCAACAATGGAACTAGTAGAAGAAACGTGGATAAAGTGACTTAAGAGTGATCAGAGTTAGACATTAACACTGTTGGAAGGCAGCCCAGTGGTGCAGGGTTTAGGTGGTCGCATACAAGACCGAATGTCTAGGGTTCAAATCCTGTGAGTAGCAGAAGTCGTGGATGTGCACTGCTGATGAGTCCCATACCATGACGAAACGGTAGTCTGGTAGTGCTTCCATGTTTCTAATGGTGGTCTAACAATGATTGATAATAATGAAAGACTTAAAACAATTCTTTACAAAACATTAAAGCCATTACATCATAAGGAGTGTGTAGAACAATTAGATAGGGAAGAATACAAAACGGAAAGACGCAAAAAACAGGATGTGAAAATGATGGTAATATTAACAAAAAATAAACTAAAATAAATCCGAAACTTCTCTATGACTTTTCATCTTCATAATAATAATAATAATAATAATAATAATAATAATAATAATAATAATAATAATAATAATAATGAATATCTTGTTTTCCATTGCGACAACTTTTAACACTATTCTCCTTTATATATATACATTGATTTTTTTCTGTTTTAGTCATTGCAATCCATCCTGGGATTTTCATCGAAAGTAAGTGCAATAATAGCCGACCTATTCGATTTTACATGTTTTCTGTTGATATGTAATTTTAATTATGGTACACTCCTACCTTCTTCGACCTGTCGATGATATTTAGTGAATGAAGAGGTTTACATAGTGAAGGCATTGAAACCGAAATAAGTAGATATGCTTTACGAAATAACATTCAAACGAACGCACTTAATTACACCTGTTACTCCGACCAGTATTCTTGAACCTACTCTGTCTTGGATCTCCCTCCCTTTCCTAGTTCTGTCCAAATGTTGTTCATTCTTCTCATGTCTGTCTCAATTTCTTGGCATGATATGTTTTGTGATCTTCCTCTTTGCGATTGCTTGCGAGGACTCCAAGTTAGGGCTTGTGTTGTGATGAGGTTGTGTGATTTAGGCAATGTATGTCCTATTCACTAATTAGAAAAAAATCCAGAATCTAATCAGTAATTGACGATCATTTTCTTCATTCCTGGATGATGGATGATGATCCTGTAATCAGTTTTTAACAATCGACTCAGTTTGATTTAGTAGAAATTTAGAGTTCATTAATTATGCAAACATTTCCACAGTTTACACAATTCACTAGTTGTAGATGTAGTAGAAGTGTGGTGTGTGCTACTTATACGAACGATATAAGTAGTATAAGAAGGGACGTCAAAGAAGAAGTCTCACGGTCAGAAGAGGAAAATGTAAAGCAAATGGAGCAAAAGCAAGAAGTAAATGGAGTACCAACAGGAAGGAAAGGGAGCAACAACCGGAATGGAAGAAGGATGGAGCGTTGGAAGTCACGACTCAAAGATGGTGTGCAAATAGAGTGTTCAATGTAATGTTTTCGTTTTTAACTAACTGCCTCAGTCTTCTCAATTGGTGCCGCTGCCTCTACACAGGATGACGATCCCATGGCCTCGGGAATTTGAAGACGGAGATGTAAGGAGCTACTTGAAGGAGTTCGAAGCCGTGGCGGAGCTGGTAGGAGTCAAGCAGCAGAGGGTGAAGGTGGTGGTGTTGGGGACTCTGCTAAGAGGCAGGGCTAGGGAGGCGATGTGAAATTCAGAAGAATAGAATTAGCGAGAAGATCAAGAATGGATGATGTATGGACGCTGTTGCAAACGATTTTAAAACCATGTCGTCGAAAGTCTCTAACCATCGGTGTTACTATCGTCTCACGAACTCCATCCTGCTAGTCTACACCTACAAACATGAATCAACCCAGTTGTTAGTGACTTGATGGATTTATGTCAGGTTTTGGTTTGGCCACCCCTAGGTTTCTTCCAGCCTACTCATACACCACAAAACATAGCTTGTCGAGGCAGTCGGTGGTTGGGCATATGTAACACATATCCCAACCACCTCAACTGATGAAGTTTCACTACTTCATCTATTGATCTGCCATCCTTACCTAGTTAGCACCCGTTCCCTAACACTAGCATTGCTTACTTAATTGTCCCAGGATATGCGAGCAATGCTTGGAAGATACCTACCTATTCCAACTATGTTTAAGCACATCACAGCATTCTCAGTATACATCAGAAATGAAAGAAACTCATAAATATATCTTCTGTATGTATGATTATCCCAGCAATTTCAATAAACTGACTGTTAAAACTATGCATTATCGTAACTGTAATCTCTAAAATAAGAAGAAAACAGATGATCCTATCAAGCTTGTTAGCAGAACTCAACTCGTCAAAATCGAAACCCATTTAAAATTGATTTCATTTAATAATGCTAAATCGTACAAACAGTCAAGAAAATGAAAGATGACATGAAATGCCCGGATGCGTTATCATTGAGAGCACTGAGTTTGGACCATTATAGACATAAATTCAAAATCTTGCATCTTGTATATTTTAACTCTTCTTGAAAAATTTTTGGAAGCAATGCTTTCAGACCAATCAGAAACCAACTTATATGGCTTATCAAATCATTTAAAAATGTTAATCGAAATGATGGTCCGAAGTCAATGAAGCAAGTTAGTCGACTTTAATAGGAAGGAAATAGTAGGCAATGAAACCTGTGATTACATCTTGTCACAAACAAAGTGGCCTGATTTTTTCAATTAGTGTTATGAAAAGCATTGTTTTTACACAGTGAAATCATCAACCAATCAATGTTAAACCAGTATCAGAAACCTGGAAAAAATCGTACAATTTGCTCACTAGTGACTACCTTCGTGAGGAAATTCCGCGGAGTTCTAGGGAGGAGACGTAACCAGTCGGGTCGAGGCAGTAACCCCTGAAGACAAATGATTAAGGTTGAGAAAAATCCCTAGATTAATCAAAGTTAGACATTAAAGCCGACATGGTGGTGCAGAGATTAGGCGATCGCGTGCGAAACCACAAGGTCTTGGGTTTGATTTCCGCCAGTAGGGGTCGTGGATGTGCTCTGCTTACTGATGAGTCTTATACTAGAACGAATCTGCCATCCAGTGCTTCCAGGTTTCTTATGTTGACTAATGATCTCACAGTGTAAAAGATCACTTGAACATAGTAATTTCATGACTGTCAGCTAACTAAGAAACATTTCCCTTCATGACGTTCATATTTAACCACCATGTTGTCTGGCATGATAATGAAAAGTCAAAACTATTAGGCCATCTTATAATTCATTTTCTTCTTCTACACTGTTTTTTACCATCATTTGCATTCTGTTCACACTTTCTTAATTTTCATTTCTGTTCATTTCTGTTCATTTCTTTGTAAGGACTATATGACAATACAATGTACATGGTGTAAAATAGGTTATCATAATAAATCCAGTTGTTTTCGTGATGCTTATCTCACTGAACCATGTTCATTAGGACCATACTCCGAGTTGATTGTTCCACCCGACTGGATTATTAAATTAACTGAAAAAGTAAGTTTAGTTAGTTTGTTTTTTGGTCAATTAGTGGTTAATTTTTTCTTGTTTTATTTCGATAAATAAGGATACAATTTGCAATTTTTTTATTTGGTTTTTAAGTAAACATGATTAACATTTGAAATGATGAATCGATCAATGTTAGACCACCATCATTAGAAGAAACCTGGAAGCACTGAAAGACAGCCGTCTCGACCACGTACGGGACTCATCAGTAGTGCACAGGATTCGAACCCAGGACCTTCAGTCTTACGTGCGAACGCCCAACCTCTAGTCCACTCAGTTAGTATCTAACGGAGTGGCACGGAGTTGCGCAACCTCATACACTGTCTTCGGTATTTACTACTTACACGCGAACAGGTTGAACTTCACTGGTCACGACTCTACACTAGAACTCAGAGAAGATTGCTCACGGAGCTAGTCACTAGTGAGCACATGTAATTTGCATTACGGGGTTGTGAAGGTTGTTAAGTTACACATTTGAAACCATGAATCGATCAACGTTAGAACATCGTTAGAAACATATTTATTTAATCAAACTTAATATATATATTTATTATTTAAAAGCGAGAAAGAATTTTATTAACAAGTTAAAACCAAAATTACTTTATTGTTTGACTAGTGAATATTTTTGTAAACTAAAGTTGAACTAAGCGTCTGAAGTATTTTATTTTCCTTAGACTGGTTGCATTTACAGAAAAGATCAACTATGAATTAACTCACAATTTCCGTAAACCTAGAATGATAAACCATGAAACATGGTGAACTTTTATAGCATAAATACTTTCACAGAAATAAATATCATTTGTAAATTAACAAGTTCATTGAATCAATCACTGTTAGACCATCATGGAGGAACTGGACAGCCATCAAATCCTATCGTGTGACTTATCAGCAGTGCGCATCCACTCTAATCCTACGAGAGAACGTTTAACCTCTAGGCCACTGAGCCGGCACTTAATGGTGTTACTGTCAGTCTAAGGTATCGGGAAACCTCAACCATTGTCTCCGGTAGTTACTGCCTACACCTGACAGGGTTGAACTCCAATGGTTATGTCTTCTCACTAGAACTTTGAGAATTACCTCACGAATCTGGTCACTACTGAGCGAGACTCTAGGTTCTGGGTTTAATCCTCGCCAGCGGAGGGTCACGAATGCTTACTTCTGAACTCCCCATACTATTGTAGTGAAGGAGAACACAGGTGGGGCAACCGAATTGTATTTAACGAAAATTACAGAGTTATTACTCAGTAAAATCGGAAAACCATATCGTAAATCGTTCATTTGCAAAATATCAGTTCATCATATCGAACTGGACTGTTCCTGTTGCAAAACATCAATCCATTGTCACTACTATTTATGCGTTTCATACAAATTCCATTGTGTTCTAACTCTTCCTTTCTTGATTTTCCCCCATCTTCTGCTGTCAGACATTACGTTGACACTCACGTCATATACTACTTATAAGAAGTAGCTCGCACCACACTAAGACTTGAGGCCCATCTAGTGTTCCTGCGTTTCTAATGGTAGTCTATCAGTAATTGATTCATTATTTCAATGAAAAACAACAGTCTCCATAACTTGATAATAATAATAAATTATCACAGACACACCTCTTCAATGATGCATTTACTTTCTTATTCATTTGTTCCAGTTTACATTAAACTTCCGGTGAAGTGATCCAATACTCATAACGCATATGCAGATATTTGTATTTTTTCCCATCAGTTTCATTCACTTAAATGGAACCGTTTTGTAAAAAAAATAAACCGATAGGCTAAATGATTATCGCGTTAATGCTGAGATAATGTCTCGTTCTCCTTAAAACCAGTGTAAAATTAAACCTCACCAAGTGTGGTAAAAATTTATATCATTCCTAAAATAACTTCAAAATACCCTGGTACAATCAAAAGTGAGAAGAATTTCTTTTGGGGCTGTTAGATCCCCAAAACTCGCTAGATAAATGGCTTACTTTGGATTTCATGTTTACGAGCATGAGCTGATCAGTTGACCTTGAGATTTCAATTCCCACCACGAAAATCCATGACTGTGATTGGCTGTTGTGTATTTTGGTGTGTTATTTTTATGACTGTCCCAAGGACGTTTCTATGATGTATAAATAAACGAGAGTTGTGTGTTTGATTGTATTGTGCTTGCTTGGTGTTTGTAGAATATACTTTCTACGCTTACCAAGACTTCTGTTTTACGGCTTGGGATTCAACGTAGCCTACCTGGACGCTGGTTCATTGTCTCGTTCGCGTTTATCGACAAAGGTGAACTCATATTAGCTTCAACTGTACTTAGTGACGAACATAACAGTCTCATACATACGTACATACATATATCACTTCAAATCGTAATTTTATTTCGTAGATGACAATGAACGAATTTATAATGATAACAGTAATGGTAATAACAATACTATTGTACTCCGATGTTCCAGAAGGTTCTGCCATGACAGGCAGGTCGATTGTAGAACGATGAGACTAAAAGCAGCTACTCAAGTTCTGAGAGCGAAGTTTCACTGCTGACTGTAGAGAGCTGTGACAGCAGTAAGGTGTTTCCCCGGACAGCCAACGTCTGCAGCGATGTTGCCTTCTCACAAGGAAGGGGCTAGAAAAGGTCAACCCTAAAAATGTCACACCTCACCCTACATCACGGATTCCCGTCTCCGTCGGTAAGGGCTGCCCAATAAGGGTTTTAGAAAGAGCGGAGATAATACTCAAACCCATTATAAAAAGGCCATGCGTGACCGGCCACAAGCAGTCGTCCCTTGGACTCTACGGTCACGCACCCAGGTCTATAAGAGCAACACTAATCTACCTTCCTTATCAGATCACTCAAGAAACACCCTTCCACGGTGTGGGCAGCCGGGAAGTGACAACCGCCCTCATACCCGTAACATCACACTAGACCAAATTGTACTCCGGTTGTTTGAAAATATATTTTAAAGTTCAATAAGCGATAGTTAATCTCACTCATTAAAACATGTTTTCAACTAAAATGAAAAGTCTATTAAGTAATAACATACATTTTTATAATGGACTGATTAACGAGCAGTAGCTGGTGTTTTTTGTATGTAAAATCCTTTTACCGGTCAAATTGCTAAAGGGTGGAGATTTTTCAAAGTAATTTATAACAAAACACACCATTTCAATCCTTGTTTGTATTATTTAAATTGGTTGTTTGAAATCTGCCGATTGATATTCAGAATTGTTATTGATCCAGTCTCTTAAAACTAAGGTGCATCTTTGAACGATCGCCTCGAAATTGCCCAAAGGAAATCTCAAACATTGTTAGCCGAGATAGGGATAATGGTGAGCATTAGAGTCGAAGACGCATGTTTCGTCCTATTTGAGATTAGTCAGCTGAATGTACTTACATTTCATAGTTGATATTGACTACAGGACTACCGGATCACGTAACTTTCACTTCAAGTATCATCGCAATATTAAATAAGTTACTTGAACTTTTTACTGAATAACATATTGGTGAAGTTCACTGTAGCACGGATAGCTCACCAGTTATTGTCTTAATCTGTGATAATGAATGTAAAGTCACTTAGAATCTTGAGGTGAGTATGCATGCATTCATTCAAACTACTGACGAGTTTATGTTTTAATGTGAAGCTCAGATTTAATATTTTTCGCTACTTGTCTTCACTCACCAAAGGATTTCAATAAACAATAATTTTTCTGATAATAAATACAAATATTGATGTACAGTATTCGATTGTTCAACCTATCTACCTATCTACCTACCTACTCTTGTTACCCCGAACGGAGCATAGGCCACCACCAGTGTTCACCAACCTACTCTATCCTTGACTTCTCTTTCTAGTTTGACTCAATCAATATTCATTCTTCTCATGTCTATCTCTATTTCTGGGCGTAATGTGTTCCTTGAGGAATCAAGATTAGGGCTTGCATTGTGACACAGTTGGGTGCTTTCCCCAATGTATGTTCTATCCCTTTCCACCACTTCTTCTTGATTTCCTCCTCCACTGGAATCTGGTTTGTTCTCTTCCACAATAGGCTGTTGCTGATGGTGTATGGCTAAAGAATCTAAAGTATTTTGTGCAGAAAACTTTTAATAAATACTTGTATCTTCTGGATGATGGCTTGTTTTGCCTTTTGTTAAATAATTTACAAAAAATCCGAGATTATCTTTTGACAAATTGCATTAAAGTGTATTTTCATTAATGTACAAATTTTCTGCCTCTCTGTATGAGTTTATTAACTAATAGAGTTGTTAATCTTTTGAATATAACAACTCATTTTATGTCAACTCGGTTGGTTGACAGAAGTACATTTGTTTAAATGAGGAGTTCGGGAGGAAGGGATTGTAAAATTTCCATAAGTAACATCGCAAACTTACTTAAAGGACAATTTTTATATTTCAATTAAAATTCTCCAAAGTATTTACGAACTAATCTAACTTTGTATAATCATGAACAGATCAATGTTAGACCACCATTAGAAACCTGAAAATACAGGATGACCGACAAGTCCTGCTACAGGACCCTTCGACAAGGCACTCACAAAATTTCTGCAACTTTCAGGATTCGAACCTAGGGTCTTTGGTCTTGTGAGCGAACGCCTAACCTTGGAACCACTAGGCCAGTATCTAACGATGTTAATGTCTGAGTTCGATCAATCCACAATCTTTCTGAAGCTCATTCACACTGCCTTCGGTGAGTAATACTTCACACACCCGAACAAGGTTGTACTCCATTGATGACGGATTTAGTGATTAGTGAACAGATGTAAATTTGCAAACTAATTTAACGTTCATAAAACGTTTATTATTACATTTTTTTTTACAAATGTTATCTTCTATCTTTCATCCCATTACTATTGATAATTTTTTCATTCTTCCTCAAGAATAATTACAAACTATCATTATCATCTACATCATCATCGCCTACATATAAAATATGTCAATCCAATAGTTTTATGTCACCGTGCTTGTCAAATGATAAAACAACTACACGTAACGGTCAAATTCGTGCATCTATATCACGACCAGAAAGTCTTGATCATTCCAGTCAACTAATCAATAGTGTGTCTGATCAATTCTCCTCAGTCACAACAACAACAACAACAACAGCAACTCCTGAAGACACTCATCAAGCTGTATCAACTAGTCAAACAAATCTTTACATTGAACCGAAAATACTATCCGCATCAGCAGCATCATCTTCACCGTTTGTCATAAAAACCAATCCAACGAATGCTGCTTCTTTAAAACCATTGCTGGTATTTCTTAATCCAAAATCCGGTGGAAATCAAGCTTGTAATTTAATGAAAAAATTTCAATGGTTATTAAATCCACGTCAAGTGTTTGATGTTTCACAAGGTGGACCGAAAATGGGGTAAGTTGATAGTCTTTTATGGTCAGATCATATAGAATAGAACTTTGTATTTCTGACAGTCTGTGACCCCAATGCAAGTCTGAGCATGTCATAGTTGGTCAGATTGACCTTTTTTGTTTTGGTCAAGGTGATTCTGTGTGTGTGTGTGTATTCTGAAGAGTAAGCAAGAATGTGTGACATAAAATAATAGAGTCAAAAATAATGAAAATGTGCGCATGTATTGTGTGCGTAGAAAATTGTGCACGTACTGAAATGAACTCCAACATGATTTTACAGTGAAATCATGAATAAATCATTGTTAGATCACCGTTAGAAACCTGGAAGCACTATTCGGCGCTTTCGTCTTGGCAGGGGACTCTTCAGCGATGAGCATCCACGACTTCTGCACATCGCAGGATTCGAAACCAGAACCTTCGGTCTTGCGTGCGATCGCGTAACCTGTGAATCACTCATCGAGGATTGAACGGTACTAATGTCTAACTATGATCAATCTAGGGATTTTTCACAATCTCACCCATTGTCTTCGGTAGTTACTGTCTACAGTGCCTACAATCTAAAAATCAAATGTAGTTGTTCGCATAAACAGTTCAGGTCGGAAGAGTAACCAATCAAAGTCAGAAGGATTTAGGATTATATGGAATACTTCGGCTAACTTCTCTATCTTGTTAGTTTGAAAACCTTGCTGATTTATCGTGACATTTTTCAGCATCGATTTGATGGTTAGTGAAAATAGCAGATAGTGCTATTGCCGATTTATTCTGTAGATTTTCTAGTACTATTGAATCTTTCTGTGTAGCTTAAGTGTTCTTCGGGACGAGTCAAAATTTCAAGACAAGTTTCTCCAATATAGAACATATCACAATCGATACAACCTATTTCGAGTTGATGTAAACGAGATCATCTCTTTAATTCTAACTAAAGCGTTTCTTCGAGTGTTGGTTGTTTTGTATCAATCAATCAATCAACAGCGACGTAGAACTTCGTACCTATGTACCTAAATCAGTTCAAAACAGGGAACCTGGTCAGTTAATATCACCTTCGGTATTCCGTGTCGCGCTACAATATGCCGGATTACTACTTCGGTCATTGTTCTTGCCCGCTGGTTAGTTCCCGCAGCTGTGACATGGCGGCAGGCACACTCTCGATAAATTGTGACGCTAACAACTGTGCCCCCGACCCCCCATCCATACTCGGCAGCGTAAGGCGCAGCGACATCGCGAGCCCCACAGCCAGCACCAACGGGTCACCATCAGCCGACAGCCTCGCCAACCGGAACCTCTGCGGCGCCCCTCCCTGTCCACCGGGCTGTCGAACTCCGTCATCAGCCGCCCTGTGACCGTCTCCCACGCCGTCTTCCCGGCGGCACTGTCCAGGCTGTCTTATACCGCCTTCGTCCCACCTCCTCGCAGCGTCCACAGCACCGCCAACTCCGCCCCGGGCCCCTTCACACCACCAGCTCCACCGCGGCCTCAAACTCCTTCAGGAAGCTCCGCAAATCTCCGTCCTCAGACTCCTTCGGCCACGGGAGCTCCTTCCTTCGTGCAGGCAGCGACACCAAGTGTAGTAAAGGAGAACACAGGTGAGGGTAACCGAATTGTATTTATCGCAAATTACAGAGTTACTCAGTAAAATAGGAAAACCATATCGTAACCGTTATTTTGCAAATCTTCAATCAATCATCAATCCATTGTCTGACATTTCACTATTCATGCGTTTCATACAAATTCCACTGTGTTCTAACTCTTCGTTTCTTGATCTTTCCCCATCTTCTGCTGCCAGACATTACGTTTACACTCATGTCATATACTACTTATAAGTAGCTCGCACCACACTCTGACTGGCCGTGTTTCATAGTATCAATAAAGCTTTAATTCTAAATGTTTTCAAAATACATCTTAATTCTTGTATGGTACCTTGGTGGTATGGTATTTCAGAATGACTTGTATTAAGTTACAAAATGTCCGAAATACAAATACAATATACCCAATATTCAATTTATTTGCAACTATCATGTCCAAACATTTTTATCGACTTAATAATTACTTTTCTTGTATATTCAAGAACACCAATGATATAAATATATATCATGAAATCATTTCTGACATTAGTTTGTTAGTGTACAATCTCTTAGTGTACACTTTTCAAACTGTCATCTATCAAACTAGTAGTTATTGTAACTTGCTTGATAAGTGGTGTGTATGTGTGCGTGTGTGTGTTTCTATTTTACTAGAAATAGTGTTTTATGCGCACATGTACACTTGTAAGTATATATGCTTTGGTGAAATTCCACATGCATAAAACAGTATTTTGTCAAAATTATTTATTATCATTGAATTATATCATACAATTTCGGAGAGAATCGTTATAGTAACATAACATACTGATGTCAATAGTACAGCAAAGAAGCAAATCCCTAATGGACTTGACTGTGTGTGATTTCTTAGCTATGCTGTTGAAAAGAATTCCGTTTATTATTTTAGACGTGACTTTTAAAGTCCAATGTGTTGAATAATAGCTAGCGTTATAATGCAGGGCGCTAGTTTCGTTCTTTGTTTTAAGACTGATCAACTCGATGTGCAATATATCGAGGCAATACGCACAGGATGCACAGGTGCCAAAATATAGTCATACATACCTACTTACTTTCGCCTATAACCAACCCCCTGTGGAGCATAAATTGCCGACCAGTGAATTATTTTTTTGGTTGGCGTTGTTTTGTAGCCAGTTGGATTTCTAAAGGATGATATAGTGTAGAAATTGTATTCTACGAATACTCAGTCAGCACATAATGAGCCCAAGCACTCAAACTGCGTTTATTTATACTCTATAGAGACGTCTTTGGGACAGTCACAAAATAGCACACTAAAATGACAGGGTGTGCAATCACAACCAAGGATTTTCCTGGTGAAAAATGTGATCTAAAAGTCGGTCCATGAAATAAATCCAAAATAAAGATATTTATCAAGCGAGTTCTGGGGATCTAACATCCCCAACACTGACACCAGCCGATGCGTTACAAAATTTCTTGTACGTCGATCGAAAAACATCAAATGAGTTGTTACCGGAGCAGAAGTTCCCAGAAGAAATCCTGATGGGACGAAGACTGAAAACGATCCACAGCCTGATGCATCCGATTAATGCACTAGCACCAGTTGAGACAAAGTTGCAAAGGCAATCTTATCAGTCGACCTTGAGACCACATTTTCCACTAGGAAAATCCTTGCCTGTGATTAGTTACTGTGTTATTTTAGTGTGCTGTTTTGTGACTCTTCCACGAACGTCACTATGAAGTATGAATAAAGGCGATTTGAGTGCTTGGATGTATTGTGTGCTGACTAGGTATTTGTAGAATACACTTTCTACAGTATATCAAGACTTCTTGCTGATTCGATTCGGTCAAGGGATCACAGTAGCCCATGACATGTTAAATGTCGATAACAATTAATCACCATATAGGTCAACAGAACATGAAATCAGTCTTCAGTGGAGAAATTCAAACACCTCACTTCCCTACTTTTTAGTTTAACAATAATCACCTAATGTACATTTGGATTTTTATTCAATTAACCTCTCATTAATCTACATATAAAATGTCCTGACGAATGTGTATATGTATGTGTGTGACCAGAATGTTCAAAATGTAAATAACTAGTACTTCACAGCATTTTTCAGATCAATTACATCTTCCCATAGTGTTTTATCAAAATATCTTACAAGGGATCCGATGGTTTTAAATATTCTCATTTTCTTGACAGGTTATTATTAATTATCTTCCCTATTAATAGTTACATTTTTTGGTTCATTCCTGTGTAAAGTTGTCATTTTTCTCATTGATTGGTTTGATAGACTGTGGTTCTGTATGTTGATAAAGTAATTGATGAAATATATTAGGCAAAGTGAACATGTGATCGTTGGAATTGTGTTCTTTCCCAACGTTCAGGATCAGTCTGATGTGCGTATACTAACACAAAGGTTATACAAAGAACGTCTTTGAGTTCGTTAACCCCATCATGCTCAACCCTCGTCCTTTATCCGGTCTAGAGGTCGGGAGTAATCCTAGTAAAGCACCGGATGGAGTTCTATAATAGTCCAATCAACTTAAATTCTAACTATCAATTAGACAATTCAAGCGACCGGTACAATCAAGCTAACATGTTATTCATTCAAAATTTACGATATAGCTTGGTTTGATTGTAGTGCCTCCACATTTATTTGCATTCGCTTACATTTAATTTGGTCAAGGCTTTCGATTAATTAATTTAACCAAGCTTAAGAACACGCAGCAAATCGTCACACTAAAAAATGGTGGTCGTAGTTTTCGGTCTGTCGTCGATATTAGCAAATTAATCCTGGGAGCGTCGATCGAGTTAAACAAATCAGGGTAGGGTGCGTAAGATATCAATTACGTCGGGCTCACCATTTTTTAGTGTGCCAATTTGCTGCGTGTTCTTAAGCTTGGTTAAATTAATTTTAATCGAAAGGCTTGACCAAATTAAATGTAAGCGAATGCAAATAAATGTGGAGGCACTACATGATTTTAGAGCAACACATATAAGCGAACAATATTATTTTCGATTAGATCGTCATCAGGCTTTACTCTAACATACATGAATATTTATATGAAAATGTTAAACCAATCAAGGCAATTTGAGTGATAATCAACGGCTCACTAACCGAGATTGGTTATCCCAGCGCATTCATAAAGAAGTATATGTTTGCCGTAAAAAAGAAGTTGGTGGTTTCGACCGCCCATAAGAAGCCTTTATTTATGAAGTTACAATTCAACGGAGATGTGGCCTGCGATACTCTGCAGGACAGATTAATGAGAGTAATTAGTAGAACATTCAGCGTAGCCAAACTTACGTTGACATTCTCCTGTCGACCAGCGATGTCTACTCAAACGAAGGATAATTTACCTGAGTTGGCCTCCTCTATGTGCATTTACAAATTCAGCTGCTCCTCTAGAGATAGCTATATCGGGCGTACTTCCAGGCAACTTAACCAACGAATGAGTGGACATCTCCCAGCATGATTTACGAAGGGTCAGTCAAAAACAATACGCATTTCTATCTTAGCACACCTGGTAGATAGTGGTCACATTGTAGATAAATCTAGATCTTTTCGAGTGATCTATCGTATACCTCCATCATTTCACAACGGTGTTCGATCCCGTCTCCTACACATTCCAGAAGGAAGCCATAGGAATACGTACATTCAACCCTAATTTATGTGTTCAGAAGAAATTTGTGACACCCCTATCTCTTCCGTGGCCGGATATGACGTAACTAACGATGGACATTATATTTTTTATCTTATTTTTACACATTTGCCTATTACGTAATGTTTTTGATGATTATTTGAATTCTATTTATCCACCTTTGACCTACTTTAGTTATCATATTTTATAAATTTTCCTACTATTATCGGTTCACCTATCTTCCTACTATCCACTTGTACTTTTGCCTTTTTCATTTCACTGTGATTATCACTCAAATTGCCTTGATTGGTGTAACATTTTCATACATAAATATTCATGTATATTAGAGTAAAGCCTGATGACGATCTAATCGAAAACAATATTGTTCGCTTATATGTGTTGATCTAATTTTCACAATTGGAATCTTTATTACATGATTTTAACAAAAAAAAAATACTAAGGATTACATTTTGTAATGTTTATTTTCTGCACCTAAGTTATGTCATCATACACTACTGTTCACCTGGAAATTTCAAGCCAACCGTATCGAATTCATTCAAATTTTTTGCACATTTTTTTTCTTCAGATTGGAATTATTCAATCGTGTTCCAAATCTACGTATTCTTGTATGCGGTGGTGATGGTACAGTTGGTTGGATATTTTCTACGATTGATTCAATGAATTTTAATACCATTCCACCAGTTGCTGTATTACCGCTAGGTACTGGAAATGATTTAGCCAGAGCATTGAATTGGGGTTCTGTAAGTTGACCTAATGATTTATATATATATATATATATATATATATATATATATATATATATATATCGTTAATAGTTTCAGGATTGGGTTGCATTGGCATCTGAACTAGTTGATCGGAAGTGAAGTGGTTGAGCGTGTCGACCGCTTAATTTATCTGGAGTCTCATCAACATTGACGGCCTGGTGTGTGTGACGAAATTTCAGCATGGGTTCGATTGAATTTCGCCAACTCGCGTCATTTGCGGTGTAGGCGAGATATTCGTCTGCTAACTAAAAGACGAGTGTACTGCGCAGTAGTTCGCTTCGTCCTACTTTATAGCTGTGAAACACGGCCGATGAGAGTTGAGGACATTCGTAGATGACTGGTTTTTGGTCACAGGTGTCTCCAAAGCATCGAGACTATCGAGTAAGCAATATTGTTGTTGGGAAACGGGTACTAGGTTTGCGCTGGCAGATCAATAGATGAAGTACTGGGACTTCATCAGTTGAGGTAGTTGGGGCACATGTGTTGCGTATGCGTAACCACCGACTACCTCGATGAGCTATGTTTTGTGGTGTAGGAGTTGGCTGGAAAATATTAGTGGTGTCCAGACCAAAACATGACAAATCCATGAAGTCACTCACAAGTGAATTGAGTTATGTTGGTAAGTGTAGGCTATCTGGTTAGGGTCCGCGAGATGATAGTAACCGATGGTCAGAGGTCCTGAATCACATGGCTCAAAATGGTCAGTAATAGTGCAGGTAAATCGACTCACTGTGTTCTCCGAAATTCTAATCTGAATTCCTTATGGCCTTAATCTTTCTCTTCTCAAATTTATTTCACTAGATTCTACTTCTTGAATAACAAATGAACTTCAGATCGGCTTGAACTACCACTCTGAATTATAGTTGAGTCTCGTTGTAGATTAGTGAGACGTTGGTACTCATGAGCCATTTCATTAAGCGTAAGCTTCGGATCTTGCTCCAACCGACATAGTAGCCTTGTTCTAATATCACTGAACTTATGCGACTGGAGGCTGCAGATGAGTATAAGGGCTTTGAACTGACCTTCCGGTAAAGATTTCAACCGAAAGCGTTCTCATTCACGGTTGACGATGCCCATATGCGTAAGAAAATCATCAACTTCGTTCATAATTAGCTTCAAACATCGATAACAAGTATTAAATAGTGACGAGTTATCGCCAATGTGTTGGCTTAAAGTCTAAACAGTCTCAGAAAATGAACAATCTCGTGGGTTCAAAGGCAGGATCAAATTGCAGTACTTATCCAGCTCACTTGCACCCAACTTTCGAAGTAGCAGCCGAACCCCCCAAGCATCATCTTGGTTGGCGAAATCAAATTTAAATAAATCTTCATAACGCCGGAACCACATATCAAAAGTAACATTTTCATCAGGATCATAATGAAATTCAGCTATGCTATTTGCGATGCCGTCGACCGATGGAGCTGTGGTTGTATTAGATGAGCTGAGCTGTGTGAAAGGGGAAATCTTCATATCTATCAACATCTGCATCAGTTTCAGCTGCTGCTCAAGTAATAATTCAAGTTTGGCAGGAACCATGTTTCCAAAATTACCGTTGCCAAAATATTGTTAATCTTTCCGATTGCTTCTCATACTTCTACTACCTCTACCACTATGAGATTTCAACTGACAATCGTGTCTCTGTGCTAATTTGGTATGGCAGCTTGAACTGATGTACGTATGTACGAAGTTCTACATTGTAAGTGACTGACTGACTTACGCCTGTCACCCCCAAAGGAGCATAGGTTGATGACCAGCATTCTCCAACCTATTCTGTTATGCGCCTTCCTTTTGCTATGGTTATCAGACGGGTCATCGGCCTCAAGACTTCCGAAAAACTCGGCCTTCATCATGAGACATCATAACTCTTTTGAATTGAAGACCTTCTAACTCACAAGGCAGAGTTTAAACTGTTTGGATTATTCGTTCTGATTAGCATATTTTTTTGTACGAGTTACTTTTGTACAGGAAGTGTTCGTTAAGCCGCTTCACATTCTTCCTGCTTTATCCAAGTATAGAAACAGGCGTTACCCCAGAGAGGCGTCAAGCGTAGTTCTGTGTGCACATATATGTTTAATTTTTTATCTGTGTTGTTGCTGACTAACTAACTAACTGACTGACACATTTCTATACATTACAAAGGTAGGTAACTAAATACACTAATCGGAAATGAAGTGTTAAAATGTTCTTTTTTGATTTTATACACATTGACGTTGAATGTACTCAAGCATTAGAATTTGTATATTTTCATACGCGTACTTTAAGGTATATCTGATATAAAATATATCATTTTTTTTTGTTAACTGTTCACGTGATGTTTATATATTTCAAAAATAAATGAAGTTGTAGCGCGCCTATCAAATTATACGTAGTTTGCGTTGAACCATTCCAAATTCCAACTAATAATCTAAAGCTAAAAATTATCAAAATTTAATAAGCTTCTGTGTCTTTCAATGATGTTAACACTTGTAATAAGTTTTATTCTGATTTTTTTATTTAGAAAACAGAATAATAAACTGGGAGTGTGTGTAGGTAACCTAAAAAAGAGGAAGGGAAAACCACTGACTAAAACACAAAATAAGCTAGTCAATCAATCAGTTTATAAAATTCCTTGAAAAGAAATAGAACTTGATGTGTTTACATTACCATGGGGTGTGTACTTGATAATCATAATCATCATCATAATAATCATAAATAATGCTGTCATTCTGTCAAAAAAAATTGTTCACAGTTATCCCCGCAAGAGAATCAATTTGTAGGCATCCTTTACTTTGAACAGTTTTATTCATGACAGACTGACAATTATTATTATTATTATTATTTTTAAAAACTAATTATCAAATTATTTTTCCAATGACAGCAAAAATTCAGTAAAATAGGATTAGCAAATTGTTGATTTCTATGTTGTTGTTGTGTTTTTTTGGTATGTTTGACAAGTGTATTGATGAATTTACATACATATATATTCGGGTGGGTGTTGGCTAACCAGTTCTGTGGGTAGCGATATTTTTGTCGCCCGGGTCATCATTTTGTGCGTTGTGTCGAATTCAAGGTAGGGCTCACTTACTTTAGTGACCCATGAGCTCTGAGTACCTTATTGATGATGACATTCGACTATGAAATAAATCTCTCCTTCAGTTTCCGGTAATTAGAAACCAAGTACAGATTCAGTTGGAAGAGTTTATTTTAGACAATCGTTCATGCAAACAAACATAAGAATACAAAGCATCAAAGCGAAACGCAGTAGAGAAGGCCAGCGAGCCAACTTGCTTCGCGATAAAGCATAACTAAGTATTTTTAGTCATACAAAATAAGTTAGACAAGTAATAAGCGAAGTAGGCAGTACACTCACATAACAACCAAGGTAAAAGCGAATAGTCAACTAGGTCAAAAGAGGACTTAGTAGTAACTCGGGTAAAAATAGATTAGTTACGTTGACAATAGCATCATCATTGACGAACAAGGTTGATATGACAGAGATGTAGAGGCGTAGATCGGCAAAGCAAGGACTACATTTCTACAATTGAACAACCGACATCTGAAACTCCAAACAACTATCAACCAACACCAAAATCAGAATTTTTATTATAAATATCAAGACAGTTCTACTGTATGGAGCAGGAACTTGGAAAACTACGAAAGCTATCATCCAGAAGATAAAAGTATTCATTCATTAAGAGTTGTCTACGCAAAATAGTTCGGATTTATTGGCCAGACACCATCAGGAACAATCTACTGTGGGAGAGAACAAATCAGTCAGCAGCTGAGCGAGAAATCAGGAAGAAGCGGTGGAAGTGGATAGGACTCATTACGAAATGCACCTAACTGCGTCACAAGACAAGCCCTCACATGGAATCCTCAAGGTTGAAGGAAAAGAGGAAGGCCAAGGAACACATTACGCCGAGAAATAAAGAAAGATATGAGAGGAATGAACAAAAATTGGGCAGAATTTGAAAGTGAGGCCCAGTACAGAGTTGGTTGGAGAAAACTAATCGGAAGCCTATGCTCTATTGGAGGTAACAGGCGTAAGTATGTAAGCAATTAAGTCCACAATAGTATGGAGCTCAGATCTAGAAAATTATAAGCAACTTTACTACCAAGATAAGTTGTAGGGCTACATGGGTACATTGATTTCAAACTTCACTGATTATTAGGATTTTCTAACACGATTGAAACAATAATCTTAATCACAGCCATTTTATTTGGTACTTGTCAGTCGAAAGGGAAGTGAACCTGTAAGCGATTGCTGTTTTAGAATTTAAATCATACAATTATAGGTTTCCGACAGTATGAAAATGGTCATGATATGAAAATTTTTAATCTTTTTCTTTAACTTAAAATAAGTTATTATCTTTTAAATAGGGTTATATTGATGAATCGATATCGAAAATATTGAATTCCGTTCATGAGGGACGTGTTATTGCTTTAGACAGGTAAGTAATATTATTGATATTATTTTCTTCGTGTACGTAACTATTATTTACTAATGGATCAAATATTGTTAGACCACCATTAAAAAACCTGATAGCACTAGACGCCCGTTTCGTCCTTGTATGGGACTCATCAGTGGCAGTGCGCATCCACGACTCCCGTTACTCGCAAGAATCGAACACACAACCTCTAGTCTTCCGCGTGAACGCCTAACCTTTGGACCATTAAGCCGGGATTCAAGAGTGTTAATGTTTAACTCTGACCAACCTAAACATTTTTGTGCAACCTCACCCATTCATTATCTTCGGTAGTTACTGTCCACATGCGACAGGGTGTATAGCTCCATTGGTCACCTCTGAAGTGGAAAATCGTAAGATGTCCCCACTGGCTTTGTTAATAAATTCTTGGAGTTCTAGTGAGAAGACGTGAACAATGGAGTTCAACCTAATCAGATGTAGCCAGTTTTTCCTACCGAAGAAAATGGGTGAGTTCACACAATATTGTAGATTGATTAAAGTTAAACAACATTAACACCTTCGGATGCTCGCTCAGTGATTCAGAGGTTAGGCCTTTGCATGCAAGGCCGATCGTCCTGGGTTTTCAATCCTGCAAGTAGCAAGAGTCGGGGGTGCTCACTGTCAATGAGTCCCATAAGAGGAACTCATGGTCGTTCAGTACTTCTACCTTCCTAATCGTAGTCTAAACTGTATGTTAGATTGACAAGTTAAGGTGATAATGTTAATCTTAAAATCTTTACAGTTTATAATATAAATTCTGTATCATACAGTTATTTATACATTTGTAATCCAAGATGCTCGTTACATAAACATGTTGCTTGTCCAACCACTTCTTGTTATTGGTTTCTTTTTTTCACATTGAAAAACTAGAATTGAATATGAAAACAATTTTTAGTGTTCCCTTGCAAAATTGACATATAAATCAAAAGATTTCCACTTTTGTTTGGTTTTGTGCTTTCTGTTTTCCTGCTGTTCACTTCAAAGTACTTTCCGACGAATACAACTTTGTAGTCAGTGAACGATTATTATTATTATTATGGCTACATGTAATAATCAGTTGAACGAATGCATATTCAATGTAGTATATTTTTTTTAATAATACCTCCTTGATCAAAATATTTATTGAACATTGAATATTGAAAAAAAATATAAATTGGGTGGCGCATTATTCAAACGAGGGAAAAAACAAATTCAATGAAAACTGTTTACAATTTTTTTCTTTTCAATGCATAATTTATGCACTACATTAAAAATCAACTAAATTTTTTTCTTTCACTTTTAAAGTTTGATAAAAATAAAATTTAGGAAAATTGAATGAATAACTATTACTCTAATGGTTATGATTATTATTTAATTACTAAAATACACATATTCATTGTAAACATTCATAATGATTACTTAATTACTTACTTACTTATTTAGCCCTGTTACCCCTAGAGGAGTATAGGCTGCCAATCAACATTCTCCACCCTACTCTGTACTGGGTTTCCCTTTTCCAGTTCTATTGAATTGCTGTTCATTGTTTTAAGTCTACTCCTAGTTTTTTGATCTACCTCTTTTCCTTCGGCATTAAGGATTTCAAATGATGGCTTGTCTTGTCCACCTTCAGTGGGTCTTCCTGATTTATTTGTCTGCCGGGATTTGGTTAGTTCTCTCCTACAGTAGGTTGTTGCTGATGTTGCCCTTCAGTATCTTTTGTAGATAAATGTTAATCAACAACTGTATCTTGTGGATGATGGTTTTCGTGATTTTCCATGTTTCCACCCCATACAGTAGAACTATCTTGACATTTGTACTGAAAATTGGAACTTCGGTGTTTATTGATAGTTGTTCTGAGTTCGTGATGTTCTTCAGTTGTAGAAATACTGCCCTTGTTTTGCTAAACCGTGCCTTCATATCTGTATCAGATCTATCTTACTCCACAATGATGCTGCTTAGATATGTAAAGGCTTCAACCTCTTCTAGAGATTCTCCATCAAGTGTGATTTGGTTGGTGCATGTTGTGTAGTATTGAAGGATCTTACTTTTCTTCTTACTTACTTACTTACTTACTTACGCCTGTTACCCCCAATCGAGCATAGGCCGCTCACCAGTTCCCTCCAGCCAACTCTGTCCTGGGCTTCCCTCACCAGTTCTGTCCAATGTTTGTTCATTCTTCTCATATCTTTCTCTATTTCTCGGAGTAATGTGTTCCTTGGCCTTCCTCTTTTCCTTCTTCCTTGAGGGTTCCATGTAAGGGCTTGTCTCGTGACGCAGTTCGGTGCTTTCCGTAATGTGTGTCCTATCCACTTCCACCGCTTCTTCGTGATTTCCTCCTCCACTGGAATCTGGTTTGTTCTCTCCCACAGTACGTTGTTGCTGATGACTTTTCTTCTTGTGTGTGTAAAGAGATTAACTGACTAAAATATCTCTGACTTTAATACTATACGTCAGGATATTGTGCAATCACTAAACTTTGAAATATTTATTATCGAATTGAAACTGTTTTACTTAATCATATTGAAAACATTAAAATATATGAACAAAATACTATTGTTAGCAGGTATAAGATACTGATTCCAGTTAATAACGACATTTATCTTTGAATCTTATAGTTACAGTTAGTTTTTCATTACGCCTGTTAATTGATAAGTTTGCTAAATAAACAGAAGATCTGTTTCCTATCCAATTCTAATAACTCAAGGCTAAGTCTACACTGTAACTTGAACACAAGAGAAAAGGCGCGACGTATGAGAAGAACGCTTTACCTCAAAGTTAGTTTGCGTACAGAAAAATGATGGTACTTATAGAGTAGTAGTTACTCATGGCCTTGAGCTTCTGTAAGGTTAGAAAATGATACTAAATATAGTAATGATATGGTTAAAGATCCAATCATAATCATGCTGCGTGATTCGGCCTTTTTCGGGTATTTTCTGTAAAGGTTTTTTATTCAATACCGGTTGGAAGAAACAGTTTCTGTTGTTTCTCGGCCTTTATCAACTTTTCCAAGGGATATTTCAGGGCTCCTCAATAGTAGAAAATTCTTTATTTTTCGCTAATGAAATGGGTTAACTGAAGGGTTGATAAGTTTTTGCGAAAATGTGTTAATGACAATATTGTCACATAAGACCTAACAACCCCCTCACACTCTTTATGTGTTTGGCAATACTTGCCAACTTACTCCTGTTATCCGTTCTACAGAATAGGTTGCCGGCCAACATTCTCCAATCAACTCTGTTCTACGCTGTCTTTTCCACTTCATTCCAACTGCTGTTCATTCTTTTCATGTCTGCATCCAATTCTCAGCTAGATATATTCTTTAATTTGCCTCTTTTCCTTTGGGTTTGAGCATTCCAAAGTAGAGTTTGCCTTGTGATGCAGTCTGGTAATTTCGGCAATTTGTATCTTACCAACTTACAGCGTTTTTTCCCCCACTTTTCTGTTCAACTTGAATCTAGTTTGTTTTCGATCTCAGCAGTTTGTTGCTGATGATGATGGTTAGCCGACGAATATGAAATACCTTACATAGACAACTAACTGCCCATAAAAACCTGTAAATTTTTGATGATGATTTTCGCAGTTTTCCAAGTTTCCGCACTATAAAGTAGAACTGTTTAAAACAACAGTGAAAGTTAAATAGTAATAATAATCATAAAAATATTTTCATATGGTAGAGTTGCGAAGATTGTTACGTTTCATTGAAATCATGAATCAATCATTGAAGGCGCCGAAGACAATTGGTGAGGTTGATCAACACCTTGGATCGATTACAGATAATGATGCTTTGTACTTATTCTGGAGGATGAATAAAAATCAACAGTAGTGTAGAATGAAGATAGAAAATGATAAGAATTTATTGGGTTCGTCACTAAGTATGCTTGAGGCTATTACGAGTTTACCTTAGTCGATAAACGCGAACGAGACAATGAACCAGCGTCCAGGTAGGCTACCTTGAATCCCCAAATAGAGTAAAAAGGCTTTGTAAGCGTAGAAAGTATATACTACAAACACCCAGTAATCACAGCACAATCAAGCATACAACTCTCGTTTATTTATACATCAGAGAAACGTCCTTGGGACAGTTAAGAAAATAGCACACTAAAATACACAGCAGCCGATCACAGCCATAGATTTTCCTGGTGGGAATTGAAATCTCAAGGTCAACTGGTCAGCCCATGCTGGCAAACGTGAAAATCCAAAATAAGGCATTTATCAAGCGAATTTTGAGGATCTAACATCCCCAACAGAATTATAATGAAAGTTTGTGAATGTTAAATTAGTTTGCATGACTAGTGCTCACTAGTGACTAGTCAGTCCCATGAGGAAGTTTCTTTGAGTTCTAGTGTGAACCAGTCCCAACTGAGGATAGTAGATGAGGTTGCACAAGACCATGAATTGATTGAAGTTAGGCATCAACAACATTGAATGCCAGCTCAGTGGTCTAGATAGAGTTTAGGCGTTCGCACGCTAGACCGAAGATCTTGAATTCGATTATTTTTGGTAAGAATCACGGTTGTGCACTACTGATAAGTCACATACTAGTACTTGACGGTTGTCCAATGCTTCTAAATTTTGAATATTGAATATTGAACATTTGTGGTGCGAGCTACTTCTTATAAGTAGTATATGACGTGAGTGTCAACGTAATGTCTGGCAGCAGAAGAATCGGGGAAGATCAAGAAAGGAAGATTTTTAGAACACAATGGAATTTGTATGAAACGCATGAATAGTAGTGACAATGGATTGATGTTTTGCAACAGGAACAGTCCATTTCAATATGATGAACTGATATTTTGCAAATGAACAATTTACGATATGGTTTTCCTATTTTACTGAGTAACAACTCTGTAATTTTCGTTAAATGCAATCCGGTTGCCCCACCTATGTTCTCATTCACTACACATTGACTAATTCGTGATTTTAACGTAGTAATACTATTAACATTGACGATAATAGTTTATACTTGTTTTTCCCATTAAACCTTTCTCTCTCTCTCTCTCTGAAATATAATTTCTCATTCCATCTAACAAAATGCTCACTACTATACATATATATATAGCTTAGTAAAATCTCATTTATTATTATTCTCCTTTGACATGAATAGAATAATGCATTTATGTGATGACGTTAGATTTATTCAACAATTAATTACTCCATATTTTTTATTAGTTCCGTTTACATTTATTTATTATTTATTCTGTTATATTGATTGTCAGTAAAATAATAATAATAATTATTATTATTATTATTACTGCTGCTTAACAATAATTAACAACAGAAAGCGATAATTATCTCAAAAAATCATAATTATAATAATTATTAATAATAATTATAGCCGGAATAATAATAATAGTAATAATAATAATAATAATAATAATAATAATCAGAAAATTGTGTACTAAGCTATAATCATTCATAATGAGGCGGGTTTTTTGGATTGTCATTTTATTATTATTATTATTATTATTATTATTATTATTATTATTATTATTATTATTGTGAATGCTTATCCATGGCCATAACATTTAGTAGGTCTGCTTTGTATCCGATTTATCGATCGACTGAATTCACCTTGGTGTACCATATTATTAATGCTTACGAATATTGTGTGGGAATGTTTGGATCCCCAGAAATCAATTGATAAAGGGCCAAAATTTTGGACTTTGTAGTTTCATGCTGATCAGTTGACGTTGAGATTAGATTTCCCACTACGGAAAATCCTTGACTGTTATTGGTTGATGTGTTTGTTTTAGTAAGCTATTTTTATGGTTCTCCCAAGGACGTTTCTATAAGGTATAAATAAAAACTTGAGTTGTGTGCTTGTTAGCCTCAAATTTTCTTGGGTGTTTGTAGAAGAATACACTTTCTATGTCTTGTCAAGACTTCTTTCTCTACTTAGTGGGGTCTTGGAACCCTCGGATTAGAGTAGCTTATCGTGTCACTGGATCAATTATCTTCGCTCTAGTTTACCGACCAAGGTGAACTCGTAATAGCATTCAAGCATATCAAATATATAAACACACGTTATTATTACTCATTACAATAGGAATCTTTGCGCATCCTGTAAATTTGAGATCATTTTCACATCTGTTTTTGAGCTTCACAAATATGTTACAGGTTTAATTAATGATGTTTAATTATAACTGTGTGCCTTACTGCTACTGGAAGCCGCAAGTAGGATGATATGAGTAAGAAGATGAATGCACTCAATGAAGTGTGAAGTATGTTAAATACACATGGCTTGTCCTAGCGTTTGGACAAATTAATCAATCGGTTTTTCTCCAGGCCTCATGGCATTCAGCTGGAACAGTCACTTTCTCCACTTCACCTCCCTTCGCTTTCTCCCTTTTTATCCTCATGTCTGTCTGCATGACCAACTCTGCATGAAATAAACTCATTCAGTTGAATCCGAATTCGGCTTTTTATTACCTCCATCGCACATTTGCGGGTTTGCCTAAGTATAGGATATACAGAAATTGAAAGGAAGATTTATTTCATAGAATATTCAATAGTACGCAGAAATTGGAGTTAGATCCTGGGTTAACTAAGGGGATGTCATAGACGCCTAAAATAAATTCAAATGTTATTTGAATACAATAATTTCACATAGGATTTATTTGTAATTGATAACAATCATATAGACCAAAATGTTTATAGTACTTGAGATTAGTTAATCAGTATTTTATCGTATTAACATTAGTATGTTCCTACTTAACAATAGATGAACTATTGAGACTTCATCATTGGTGTTAGTTGAGACATGTATTACGTATGCCTAACCACCGACTGCCTCAACGGGCAATGTTTTGTGGTGTAGGAGTAGGTTAGAAGAAAGTTAGCAGCAACCAGACCAAAACATGACAGAAGTCCATGAAGTCGCTGACAAGTGGAATGAGTCATGTTGTTAGGTATCGACTACCTGGTTGGGGCCTGCGAGATGATAGTAATCGATGGTTAGAGACATTGAATGTCATGGCTCCAAATCGTTTGCGATAGCGCAGGTACATCCACTCGTTGTGTTCTCTCAAATTTTAACCTTCTGGATTCCTCATGATCTCTATTTTTCGCATTCTAAATGTATCTCACTGAATTATACCTCTCGAATCATATCTTCAAATCCTAATCTTCTTCATTACCAGTACTACTTCTACTATCTCAACCACTATGGAATTCGAACTAACAATTGAGTCTCTGTGTGCTAATGTGATATGGCAACCTGAAATGATGTACATACGTACAAATTTCTACGTTGTAACTGACTGACTGACTAAATTTACCAAATTACGTAATTATTCTTTCTTAGAGTGCGAGATTACATCTCATAGACAGTTGACAGAAAAATGTCAATCGCTTTCATAGTTCATTCATTTGTCAATTATTTGAATTATTGCTCAGTATCAGACTAACTTGTTTTAACTTGGAGATTTTTCTTATTTAGTGAATTTTATATTTCACATTGTTTTTTGTGTGTGTGTGTGTATACTACAGATGGCAAGTAAATTGTGAAGTACGTGCAGATTTTCTTCAAACAACTCAACAACTAACCTATTATGATGATAATGATGATGAGTCCACAAGAAATAGACCGCCGATATCTGATGTTTTGCCATTGAAAGTATTCAATAATTATTTTTCACTTGGAGCAGATGCTGCAACAGCGTTGGAATTTCATGAATCAAGAGGTATGTTGAAAATGATGAACATGTTTGTTGTTTTTTCTTAATGACTAGTTTAGTTATTGGGGTTTTCAGAGTGAGTATTAAATTTTGTAAATGCCTAGATATATTTGAGTCTAATCAGTGGAATTACAACCTTAATAAACAGTAGTCAGTCATCATATTTTATATCATAAAATGCGCTTAATCACCGAAAGTAGTTAGTTGTGCCGGTGTTTGGAAGAACGGTACCACGTGGGGGATAGTAAATCAGTTGACAACGTAATAGAATGTTCATCATTTGAGGTGGTTAGGAAATGTGTTACGTATACCTCACCACTGACTGACTGCCTTGACAAACTGATGTTGTCTACTGTAGGGGGAAGACTGGGAGAAAGTTAGGGGCGGCTTGATCAAAAACATGGCACAAATTCATGAAGTCACTGAAAAATGGATTAGTAGGTTGGTGTTTTTGCAAGACAATAGTAACCGATAGTTAAAGAATTTGAATGCTGTGACTCAGAATAGTTTTCATTGGCTCAGATGCATTCATTGATTGTCTTCTCTGGAATTCCAATCTTCTAAATCTCTCTTTTCTTTAAATTGATTTTTCTGGGTTATACTTCTTGAATCCTTCCTTATCTTCAATTTCGAACATTTCTTTATTCCAACTAATACTTTCACTACTATAGGATGTCAATTGATAATTCATTCTCTCTGTATGCTAATGTGGTCCAGAAAACTTAACTGATGTACGTAAGTACGTACGAAGTTCTATGTTGTAGTTGTGAATGAATGACGGTGGATATCACAGCCCTAAGATGTGTGTGTTTTGATTTCGGTCAACTAATTCTTAAATGTATTTTTCTATTTAAGTTCCTCAGACATTTAACGTATAGAATCGATTACATAAGTCATAATAATCATTTGGCCTGAATATACGCCAATGTATATTATCAGTGAGTATCGTAGCTTATTTCTAAAGTCAGTGAAGATATCCCTGAATCGACACGGACTAGATAATTGTTGTGGTGGTGAATTTGGTTCTCTGAGCTGGATGTTTTGGTTGTGGAGCTTTCATTGTTCTTCTTCTGAACAACATCATCAGCACAAACTTCAGATCGAAGTGAAGCATTCGAATTTATCCACGTTTGACCTGAGGCTTGTTCTGCTAACCTCGATCTTGATTGGTTGCTGTTGACCTTTGACCTGTCGTTGTTTACACCTTTGTTTTTATTGCATCACCCTTTTGATCTGTTTCTTGATCCTATGTCACATATGATTTCCCTGACTGGTTGATAAATTGGGTCCATGTCGATGTGTTTATTGATTGCTGATTGACCTGAGTGCCAAACTTCTAAAGATTCTCTAGTGTTCTTTGTCCTCCTCCTATCCAGTATTTCCACATTGTCCCAATCGAATGTATGTCCATAATTGTCAGTATGTATTGATATAAGCGAAGCGTTGTCGTGGCGTTTGACTGCTAATTGGTGTTCACGTAAACAAAGCTGAAGAGGCCGTCCACTTTGTCCTGTGTAGTGTTTTTCACAGTCTAAGCAATTAATTTTGTAGATAATATTTGGTTTTTCTTCCTTTGTCATTTTGTTCTTTGGTCTACATACAGGATTGATTGAAGTGATTCTGTTGGTTTGTGTGCCATACCTATTTCAAACGGTTTCAGTAGTCATGCTGTATGTTCCGATATGTCTTTTATGTATGATCCGTTTATTGGTTCCTGTGATTGATTTCGCTTCTGATGATGATTTCGGTGGATGTTTTTTGATGAAGTTTCGTGGATAGCCGTATAATAAAATGATTACATCAATTTTTTGATCAGTTGAAAATCATTGAATCGATGTTTTATTCAATCTGATTACTACTACATACACAATGAATTTGATCTTTAGATATAAACTATTTACGAACCCAATAGCAAAGTTGATGTCGCTAAGTCAGTTGCAACATAGAACTTAGTACGTTTGTACACAGAGAGCTGGAATTATCAGTGTGAATTCCATAGTTGTAGAGGTTTTAGCAGTATTACCGGTGATGGAGAAGAATATAGAAGTTTGATCCAATGAAATAAATTGGTGTGTGTATACAATTCAGAAGATGAATACGAAGCGTTGATAACATTTGTTATTGTGAATCACAGGCATACGTAAGCGAAAACCAAGTGACATGCTAGTACTGAGTAGCGAATGAACAGAATTAAGACGTAAAATGAATATGTACGACTTGGTTGTATCCAGTTCTTAAGCAAACAAAGTGTATCAATAGTAAAAGTACAAAAAAAAACAGATAAGCTGTTGCTGTTCTCTGTTGTTCAATAAGTCAAAATTTACATCATGATTACATTTTAATTAGATGACTAATGAAATGAAGGAAAGGCTGAACAAACGTTTTATCCTAGTATATGGACTGACTACTCAGTAGTGTTCATTTACCCCAGTACACCTAAAATCGAATCGAAATTTTTTTTATAGATTCTTTCATCTTAAGCGTTTAAATATATTGTAGTGAAGGAGAACACAGGGTAGGGCAACCGAATGGTATTTATCGCAAATTACAGAGTTACTCAGTAAAATAGGAAAACCATATCGTAAATCGTTAATTTGCAAATCTTCAATCCATCATCAATACATTGTCTGACATTTCACTATTCATGCGTTTCATACAAATTCCATTGTGTTCCCACTCTTCCTTTCTTGATCTTCCCTCATCTTCTGCTGCCAGACATCACATTTTTACTCGCGTCATATACTACTTATGAGTAGCGCGCACCACATTATTACCATTGAACCTGTTGTATCCCGCAAGAATACTTACATACCTAATACATATCTAACCGATTCGTCGTCGTATCACTCGGTCATCATCCACTGACATTAACGATATTTCACTTGTTTTGTACTTCAACGAAGACAGTACAGTAAAATATCACAAACCAACGGATAAACGCTTATTATCACAAAGTCTTATGTTTAATCTTAAGATTAAACTATTATCGTACAATGTTTAGTAATTTTCAATAGTTTTCAAAATAATCTTAGTTCATTATGATGATGATGATTATGATGATCATTGCAGAAGTAATTCAGTAATCTACACAAACACAATGAGTTGTATTCTTTCACCATACATACTACATTCAAGTGTTTTTTTACTGAATTAACTGTGTAGACTTATTTTCTTTTTTTTACAATAAAAGCCAAAAATAACACTAACACGCTTAAATCAATTAACTTTTGACTTTTGAACATTGAAATTAAATTAAATGAAAATCTAATTTCACTTGTGTTTTTTTTCCTCCACTGTTTATGCTTTTTAAGTGTGTTTGTTCAGTGGGAAATTAGTTTATTTAAATTGAATTTACTTATTATTTTTTTTCTGCCTGGTTATGTTACTGATGTAATTTTAGACCATAAAATTAAAAATATCTACCTCGTAACTTTAAAAAAAAATGAAATTTTTTTAAATTTTGTTCATATATGTTGATAGATACTACTGATTGAATTATATCTTTATTTCAGTAGTATAGTAACGTTTTTAGAATATATTTTTGCGAATTCATACATATATATAGTTTGATTTTGTTTATAAAACTGTTCAACCAGTGAGTGATAAGTAATGAAAGTATAAGGATTTTATCACCAATTTAGTAAGTTAGTTAGTAAGTAAGTAAGTCGGTAAGTATTTGTGCGCACTGCTGGTGAGTCCTGTCACCAGAATGGAACGGTCGTCCAGTTTTTCCAGGTTTCTAATGGTGGTCTAACACTGATCGATTCAAGATTACAACAAAGTAACTCAATAATCTCCACAACCCCGTAATGCAAATTATCATGTGCTCACTAGTGACTAAATCAGTGTGGAAGTGTTTCCGATTTCTGATAAGAAGTCGTAATCAGTGAAGTTCAACCCTGTCCAGGTGTGAAACAGTGCTCACTGAAGACAGTGGATGAGGTTGTACAAGACCATGGATTGATTGATGTTAGACAATAATACCACTACTATGGTGATCCAGAAGTTAAGTGACCGCGTGCAACACCGAAGGTCTTGGGTTGTGAACTTGCGACTAGCAGGAGTCAAACTGAAATAAAAGTATGGACCGACTGAACTATAGTTCACTGGTTTAATAGTATTATGGATTCTGTGAGATTGAAATGGTATTTGATGGTGACTCCATGTGAAGCAATAAATTAGGGTAAAAACTTGCCTTCTTTCTACATTTTTATATGTAGGAATTTCGCGAAATATGTTAGGAATAAGCATTTTGTCAGTAAATTATATTTTTATCCTTGATATAGTGGATTTCTGGAATAATTTTACTGACTCTAGTCTTATTACCGCTAGCGCTAGTTGTACGTTATTTAGAGAATTTTAAAAATCTTCTGAATGATAGGAATCGATGCGTGACGACTTTGTTGTCACAGTTAGAAAGTATTTTCAAGGGTAAAAATTGATGCAACCTACGTTGTTTAAACAAACATTTCACCATTTCAGTTCTTTTATTGATCGATCAACTATGAATACATCTCAATCGTGTAGGAGGTCAGTCACGGCTCAGATTGCTCATTGGTAACGTCTTTACTGTGAAGCTCGGTGAAATGGGATCGAATTTGTCCAGAGAACATTCGTTCTCTCAAGATAACAGGTTTGCCTTGCCTACGAGTGTTAAATAGCATGAAATCTAGGTCAGGGATATCCTGTCGACTTCCTCTAACCATCATCTTATATCTCAGCTTAGTACACGTATTTTCGAGTCACCTAGATTGGTGACCGAATTGGAACTTGATCGTTGCAATCCAATCAGCACTAGGTAGGAGTTGAGTCACCTCCCGCTGAATAATACCCAGTGACCGGTCAATCATAAGAAAGTCATTCAGTGAGTAAAAACGTAGAACTTCGTTGGTCCGGACACCAAGCGAAACTGCCATACCACATTAGTACAGCGATGCAATTGTCGATTCAAATCCAATAATGGTGTAGAAGTATGGTCATCAATCGGAAAGATTAGAACTTGAAGATGTTATTCAAGAAGTATAATCTAGTGTGAAATAAACTTAAAAAGAATAAAGATAAAGGTAATGAGAAATCCAGAAGATTTATAATTTGGGCGAACACAAAGAATGGATGCACATGTGCCCCATTGCAAACAATTTTGAGCCATCTCATTCAAAGTCTTTAACCCCCAAGTCACTAGTGTCACACGGACTCCAACCACATAGTCAACATCCTAACCAAATTAGTTCTCATTCGTCACATCAATTTACAAAAAACACAAATAAGAGCTTTTTCCTTCTATTTTTTTTTAAAAGAAACGAACAAATTTGTTATTGTGAGGTGAAATGAAATGAAACTAATCACTTATGTTCTTGACCTAAATTAATTGAAGCCACGAATTAACTTTTTTCTTTCTAGTAGCCTCTTTTCATTATTGTTTTAATACATAAAATAAAGTTAACTCTAAAAAAAAAACAAGAAGTTGCATTTAAAATAAAAGAAGAATAGAACTGAAAACAATTAAATAAATAGTTGAGAGAAATGTTGACCGATCATATATTATTGATTGAACATTGAATTTGTTTTAAAAACAAAAAAGAAACATACTGCTGATTGTTTAAATGAGTTAGTTAGTTCAATGAATAAGTGAATAATGGATTTTATTTCTTCTTATTTGTTTTAGTTTTGACCGTGACATTTTCTTTAATTGTCATTACAAAATTTTCTAATGAAATATAAGTAATACTTAACTCTTAATTGATATGTTTGTTTAGTTAAATTATGATTGACTAATGAATTTATTGTGAAGGAGGTTGTTGGGTTTTATTTTGTTTTTGAATTGAAATCATGAATCAATCATTTTTATTTAGGCCATCATTTAGAAACCTGGAAGCACAGGACGGCCGTTTCGTCCTGGTACGGGACTCATCAGTGGCAGTGCGCATGCATGACTCCTGCACCTCGCAGGTCTCGAACCCAGGACCTTCGATATTGTGCGCGAAGGCTCTAACCGTTAGACCACTGAGCCAGTACCCAACGGTGTCTAACATGATCAAATTCACGGAGTCGTGAATGCGCACTGCTGATGAGAGTCCCATACTGCAGGACGAAACGGCCGTCCAGTGCTTCTAAGTTTCTAATGGTGGTCTAACAATGATCGATTCATGGTTACAAACAAAAAATTTACTATTTCATTAGTAAACAACAGTGTCTATAACGAAAAATCGTACAATATGCCTACCTAATGACTAGCTTCGTGAGGCAATTCTCGGAGTTCTTGTGAGAAGCCGGGATTATTGGAGCTCAACCCTGTAGGGTGTAGGTAGTTAGTTAGTTACCTACCGAAGACAATGGGTGAGGTTGAGCAAAACCTTAGATTGATCTGAGTTAGGTATTGACACTGTTGGATGTCGGGCTTAGGGGTCCGAAAGTTAGGCACTCGCGTGCAAGACTAAAAGGTCATGAGTTTGATTCCCTTGAGCGTGGGTCGTTGATGTGCACTGTTGATGGGTCCCATACTAGGACTACTACTGCTTCCAGGTTTCTTATAGTCGTCTAGCATTGATCGATTCATAATTTCAATAATAATAAAAATTGTTGTTATTTTACAAAATTCAATTCACTTCAATGTGAATTGAATCAACTTATGGATGATAATTCAATTAGAGTATAAACATGACAGAGCTATGTGTAACGAGAAAATAGCGATCAACTGTATGATTTGTAATAAACAATTAAAGCTTAAATCATTTTTCTTAATTATTTGTAATCATTATTAAGTTGAATAGATATTTAACTTTCTCATTACTTACTTACTTACGCCTGTTACCCCCAATCGAGCATAGGTTGCCCACCAGTTTTCTCCAACAAACTCTGTCCTGGGCTTCCCTCTCCAGTTCTGTCCAATCAATGTTCATTCCTCTCATATCTTTCTCTATTTCTCGGAGTAATGTGTTCCTTGGCCTTCCTCTTTTCCTTTTGCCGTGAGCGTTTCATGTGAGGGCTTGTCTCGTGACGCAGTTAGGTGCTTTTCGTAGTGAGCGTCCTATCCACTCCCACCACTTCTTCCTGATTTCCTCCTCCGCTGCAGGTATCTGGTTTGTTCTCTCCCACAGTTCGTTGTTGGTGATGGTGTCTGGCCAACGAATCCGAAGTATTTTGCGTAGACAACTGTTAATAAACACTTGTATCTTCTGGATGTTGGCTTTGGTAGTTCTCCAAGTTTCCGCTCCATACAGTAGAACTGTCTTGACATTTGTTTTATTAAATGTAATCATATATGGATTAGGAAAGTGAGGCAACCAAAATACTTATGCAGTACACAAGTTATTGAATGTGTATGTAGGTTAGAATAGTACGGGGAGGCCTAAACCGAAGCAGGCGGTTTCCTTGAGGGGGGGCCACACTCGGAGTCTTTGACACAAAAGTCTAATCTACAAGACAGTGAGTGGAGTAACTTTAAGAAATGCACTGCCATGGTAGTTGGTTATCAACAACGATACGTTCATACGCCATTCGTTCAACCAGGGTCCTGGAAACGATGCTCACCAATGGTTTGGAATGAGTGTTTCCCAAACTTCCCTAGGTTGGTTTCGGACACTCACCAGAACCGGTTAAATCGCCCGGGGCTATCATTTCTTCTTCTTCTCCTCAGTTTCGTGAACGACACCCTCGCTTCCAGAGGAGAACAATGAGTAATACCTCTTTTTTGTCGATGGCCATATAGCAAGAAAGAGTGCGTGCTGTCTCCACACTCAATCATAAAACCGGTATTCAATGGTTTAAAATATCTTATTTATGAATTGATGTGTTGATTGTACAAGAAAGCAAGTAAACTATTGAAAAATTCTCATCATTTATATTCACTCAAAAGGTTGATAATCAAATATTTATTTCCGATTAAAATATGAAAGATTTCTGTGAAAAAATCAATAGATTATTTTAGTGATAATAATTAGAACTCATATTTTGCTCAATGTTTATATATACATATTATGTTAAAAATTTCATTGTTTGATAACAATCAACTGACTACATACATAGTTTTATGCTTTCATTGCGTATTATGCTTGGTTATTATTATTGATTATTTTATTTTTAAGTTTGCAAATCTTTGGCATTATATTTATGTTAGAAAATGAATTTCTGCTAGTCTATTTAGGGGTATATGCATCCTGAGAGAACTGCCTCAATGTTTAGTGAAGGAGAACACAGGTGAGGGCAACCGAATTGTATTTAACGAAAATTACAGAGTTACTCAGTAAAATAGGAAAACCATATCGTAAACGGTTAATATCCAAATCTTCAATCCATCATCAATTCAGTGTCTGACATTTCACTATTCATGCGTTTCATACAAATTCCATTGTGTTCCCACTCTTCGTTTCTTGATCTTCCCTCATCTTCTGCTGCCAGACATTACGTTTTTACTCGCGTCATATACTACTTATAAGTAGCGCGCACCACAAATGTAGCTATTAAGTCAAAAGTATTTTCAGTAAAAAAATGAACGATGACTAGTGTAGTGTTGTAATCTGGACTGTTCTTTTTCATCCTATATGGGATTGGTCGGCCTGATATCTAGTGTTGATGCTCTCTGAATAAGCTGAAAAATTCAACGACCAAAAAAAACTTACAAACAATAGAATTCATTCTCGGTGGACACGCTGGCATCTGTTTACATTCGAAATCTCATTAGATAACACATTGAACATTTGAAGTGACATATGTTGTGGTATGAATATCAACACTTGCTTGGGTGTACCAGGATCTGTAGGAGGATCGTCCAGTTGTCCAGTTGCATATTGTACAAAACTAATTCGTTTGCTAATTAAAGGACGAGTGTACTGTGCAGCAGTTCCCTCCGTCCTACTTATATGGATGCGAAACATGGCCAGTCAGAGTAGAAGACATTCGTAGGTTATTAGAATTTCATTATAGATGTTTTCGGAGCATCCTACATCCTGTGATAACCAAGTAAACAATGCAGTTGTTAGGAAACGGGTACTAGGTTAGGATGGCAGATCAATAGATGAAGTATTGAAACTTCATCAGTTGAGGTTTTTAGAACATGTATTACGAATCCCCAACCACTGACTGCCTCAACGAGCAATGTTTCGTGGATTAGGAGTAGGTTGGAAGAATGATAGTGGCGACCAGACCAAAACATGGTACAAATAAATCCACAAAGTCACTGACAAGTGAATTAAGTCGTGTTGGTATGAATATATCAACACTTGGATGCACGAGGATCTGTACGAAGATCGTCCAGTTGCATATTGTACAAAACTAGCTTCCTAGATTTTTCGCTGCTGCCCGCTGTCTGTCTTTCTTTACGCCAAATTAGTTTACCGTCTCTGTACTACTAAACTCTGAAATTTTGTTTTCAATTCACTAACTAATCGATATAACCGATATTAAGTCTGAAAACATAGAACAACAACGACAACAACAACAAATGAATGAGTCAACAATAGTGTTTGTTGATATCATCAATCAATAATTCAAGGAGGTGATTTTTAATGAGCAAATTTTGACGGAACCATCAAAAACACAAATCTGAGTAGCATAAAACAGACAATGACATAAAAACAGTGTAGGCGTATTATATTAATGCAGATAGAAGATATATGATTATCTATGAAAGGGAAGAGAGAGAGAGTGAGGGAAAGCGAGAGAGAGAGAGACTAGGAAAAGAGCTTGTAAACAACAACTGATCATTTTCAAAATGGATTCCAAATGATTCTTTCCTCTCTTTCTCTCTCTCTTATTTCATTTTGTTTTCCAAAAACAGATCACTCACTCCCTGTTGTATCACTAGAAAAATATTGTATTCTCTGATACAATCACCAATTAATATTCCTCTGTCTACTTGTTTTCCCCTGTATTTTTTTTTTCAGAGGCTAATCCGGAGAAATTCAATAGTCGTTTGAAAAATAAACTATTTTACGCTGGAGTAAGTTGTTAATCAATGTTCTGATTTCATTTCGGCAACATGTTTTATTACTACCTGGATAAATCAGTTAAACTAGGCGTTCAGCGTTCGGAAATGATATCGAAGGTGCTGGGTTCGAGTTCCGCGAGCGCGGTCGTGGATGCGCGCGCTGCTGATGAGTCGCGCAGTAGGATGAGACGGTTGTCTATTGCTTCGTGGTTTCTAGTAGTGGCTTTAAGAATGAGAGATTCATGATTCTAATGAAAATTAGGTGTGATTATGGATTACGTGAACAGTGATCAAATCAGTTAATAAAACCATTTAAATTCACTCTCATATAAAGTTTAACTTAGGAATCACTGTTTTTTATTCAATAAAGAATACAGTTCTGTTTTCTGTATTAAACTCTTAAACTCTTAAGCAGTCAGTATTGATCGCATTGCAGATAAGAATTAATTCAATGCCAAGACTAGATAAGAATGATCTTAGCCTTCTGAGGAAATCGAACTTAGGACCTTCGAATTCGCAGACGAACGCTTAACCTCTAGACTACTGAGCCAGCATCCAACAGTGTGAGGTTGTGCAATACGCTGGATAGATAGAGTGAAGTTAGATATCAACACTGTAAGATGATGGCTCAGTGGTTTAGAGAGATTAGGCATCCGCAACTAAGACTGAAGTCCCTCGGTTCGCATCCCATGAGCAAGGGTCGTGAATGTTCACTGATGATAAGTCCCATAGTCGGAAGAAATGATCGTCCAGTGCTTCCAGGTTTTTCTAATACAGGTTTACCAATGAGAGAATCATGACCTCAGAGAAAATTAGATGTGACTGCAGATTTCGAATAGAAAGACAGAATCAGTAGTTAATTAACAACCATTTGAATTCGATCCAAAAATAAAGTTAACTGGTTGTTCTTCATCAATTCAAGATTAGACGTCTATTTACTATAGTTAATAAACTTTCAAACACAAATGTGTCATTTGTAAATAAACCAGTTGATGTTAGTCACATTCCAGCTGAGAATATCAAGAACTTGATGAGTTTTTTCTTGACATTCTTTACACTGTTTACACTGTTTCAAAAAAATCATATTCACAATTATTTAAAATGCGAAACCATAATGTTACCGTTTACATTACAATAATAACACTGTTTTCGTCAAGTCTAACATTTTTATCATTTCCGTTTACTTTGAAAAAGGAAATCAACTTCTCATATATAATAATTAACTGATTTCAGTTTTGTTTCACTGTTCTGATTTAAATGAAATTCAATTGTTTCACAGAACTATATCACTTAATCACTCACATAAACAAAAATCAATTCTAACTAGAGTTGATGGTGATAATTCTCTTTTTTTCGAAAACGTATTTCATTTGAAATGAAAAAAATATGTATGTAACTTATAAGTTAAAAATGTCTCTTTCAATACCTTGGTTTTCACACATTTGAAATCATCAATCAACCACTGTGTTAGACCACCATTAGAAACCTGAAATCACGGGACGGCCGTTTCGTCCTGGTAAGGGACTCATCAGCAGTGCTCATTCACGACTCCTGCTCCTCGCAGGATTCGGACCCGGGACCTTCGGCATTGTAGGCGAACGCCTTACCATCGGACCACTGGGCCGGGATCCGACGGTGTTAATGTCTAACTCTGATTGATCTAGGGATTTTGCGCGACCTCGCCTATGATTGATTGACGATTTCAAATGTGTAAAAACGCAAACCCCCAAAACTCTGCCCCCAAAAAACCTTGGTTTTCATTGAAATCATGAACTGATCAACCAATGTTAGACCAACAATATTAAAAACTCGGAAGCACTGGACAATCGTTTCGTCCTAGAATGGGACTTGTCAGCAGTAGTGTGCATCCACAACTCTGTCAGCAGGAGTTGAACTCATGACCTTTGTTTGGCCTTGCATTCAGAAGCCTAATCTCATGGCCACTGAGCTGGCTGGCATTCGTTGGTGGTAATTAAAAGAATAATTTCTGTGAAAAATTTTCATCAGAGAATGTGACGAACAAAGCTCAACTGTGGTAAAAAATAAGACAGTCATACACTGACTGAAGTGAAAGGTGCTTCATTCATTCATTCTAAAATGGCATATGTGTAGTTTAGTCTATTATTCATGGAGCACGTTGAGAAAGTTGTAATCACTTGACATTTTCAGAAACAAATAGTGAACTACTCAGATCTGTTGATTGCCTATATCATTGATCATACCGGCTGATTGGATAAATCATATTGATTGTTAACATATTGTAAATTGCCCACATCAATGCCTTCACTTATATACTTCTTAGTTTGTTTAATCTTAATACGAAAACGAATAATTCACTTTGCTTACATTCTGTACTATTTTTTCTTTGTTTTAGCTTGGCGGTAAAGATTTACTTCGACGAAGTTGGCGTGATCTATCTGAACATATAACTCTTATCGTAAGTTTATAGTTGACAGCGATTTAAATGATAATATTTTACTTCGGAAGAATAGTAGTTTCCGACAGAATACTAATATAGACAAGTGATATATATATATATATCTATATATATATATATATATATAGTCAGTGATGTATTACAAGTAGTTGTCTTTATTTTTAGAATCGCTCCGACCTACTACGTGGTTGCGAAACATGGCCGATAAGAGTTGAAGATATTCGTAGGTTACTGGTAATGGATTATAGATGTCTTCGAAGCGTTGCTTGTGTATTCTGAGACAACCGAGTAGGCACTGCTGTCGTTAGAAACAAGTACGAGGTAGCGATGGCAAATCGGTAGATGAAGTATTTGAACTTCGTCGGGTGAGGTGGTTGGGACGTGTGATACGAATGTCCAACCACTGACTGCCTCAACGAGCGATGTTTTGTGATGTAGGAGGAGGTTGGAAGAAAACTAGGTGCGGCCAAACCAAAATATGGCAGGAATCCATGAAGCCATTAACAAGTGGACTGAGTCATTTTGGCAGATGCAGACTATCTAGTTCGGGCCCGCGAGATAATCGTAATCGATGGTTAGAGACCTAGAACGACATATTTCAAAATCCACTCCCTGCGTTCTGTCAAATCCCAATCTTCCGAATTCTTCATCACCCTATCTTTCTTTTTTTTAACTAATTTCACTGAATTATACTTTTTGAATAATATCTGCAAACTCTAATCTTCTCCATAACCGCTAATACTTCTATCTCTACCACTATGAGGTTTGAAGTGACAGTTGCGTCTCTGTGCTGATGTGTGGTATGGCAACCTGAACTGATGTACGTATATACGAAGTTCTACATTTTGATTAACTGAATTTTAGAATAGACTTCATCGGGTAAACATGTACACTTTAGAATTTGTTTACCGTTAATTTTGATCTTTTGAAACTGAATAGGATCATTTTTTATTGATAATAAAAGTTTCTTTAGTTAAATATTTCACAGTAAAATGATGCATAGATCTGGAGAGTGGGTCCAAATAAAATTAAAATATATCACATATATTCCATTGTAAGCTATTTTCTAAAAGTTTATCCGAAAAGTATCCTTGTCGATGTCAGAAATTCAAAAGAGGTATCATGCATAAACCTAAGTTAGACATTTTTTTAGCAACCAAAAAATACGTGATAACCGCTGGGTCGGGGACAAACGGATTAGAATAGCCTATCGTGTCACCGAGTCACTGTCTTCGCTCTGTTTACAAGTTAAGGTGAAATCGTATTAGTTTCAAGCATATACGTTGACGAGCATATCATATACTACAGTTAAATATCAATTTACTAACTTTGCCTATCAATTTGTATAAAAAAGAAATTGTAATGCATAGAACTAACTGGATATTTAAAATATACTAGCTAATATTAAAAACGAATTTCAATCTATGGTTAATTTTTAAAAATATCTAGTTTTTAAAAAAAGACATTTAGAAGATTTTGCTTGGGGTTTAGACCGAAGGTCCCGGGTTCGAATCCTGCGAGGTACAGAAGTCGTGCATACACATTATTGATGAGTCCCATATACCAGGACGAAGCATCCGTCACTCAGTCCTTCCAGATTTCTAATGATGGCCCAACATTGATCGACTCATGATTTCAAATCTGTACCTTAACAATCTTCGCAAAACCATATTGCATTGAAACAATGTCAACAGATCACTAGATAGTATACACAAACAGATATTTAAAAATTATACGAATGTTGATTTACTGATAGAATGTTTAAAAATGTTTCATTCTCCTTTTACACCATGATTTGAAAATTATTTTTCCCTCTGATTCGATCAATGTTACATATACCATCATTAGAAACCTGGTAGCATTGGATGACCGTTTTGTTCTAACTGAAAACTCATCAGCGACGCACAACCACCATTGCCGTCCATGGGGATCCAACTCAATGGGTTTTGCGCTCTAGACCACTGAGATGGCATCCAACACTATTTAATTTTTAAATCTTTATCATTCCACCATACTGTGCGACCGGATCCATTGTTTTCAGCTCAGTCTCCTGGCGGTAGAGTGTTCAGACGTGAGATTGGAAGTCCTCGGTAAGATTCCTGCTTGTACGTCTTGCATACACACTGTTGATGAGTCCCATGCTAGAAACAACAAAATTCTCCGGTGCAACACAGCATGCACCAACCAAATCACTCTTGATCGACATGCCTTGGACGACGTTAACACCTTTACATATCTGGGCAGCATCATCGACAATCAAGGTGGATCCGATGCAGATGTGAGGGTACGGATCGGCAAAGCAAGGGTTGCGTTTCTACAGTTGAAAAATATCTGGAACTCCAAACAACTTTCAACCAAAACCAAAATCAGCATTTTCAATACAAATGTGAAGACAGTTCTACTGTATGCAGCGGAAACTTGGAGAACTACCTAAGCCATCATCCACAAGATACAAGTGTTTATGAACAGTTATCTACGCAAAATACTTCGTCTTCGTTGGCCAGACACCATCAGCAACAACGAACTGTGGGAGAGAACAAACCAGATACCTGCAGAGGAGGAGGAAATCAGGAAGAAGTGGTGTAAGTGGATAGGACACACACTACGAAAAGCACTTGACTGTGTCACGAGACAAGCCCCTACATGGAACCCTGAAGGCAAAAGGAAAAGAGGAAGGCGAAGGAACACATTACGCCGAGAAATAGAGAAAGATATGAGAGGAATGAACAAACACTGGACAGAACTGGAGAGGGAAGCCCAGGACAGAGTTGGTTGGAGGAAACTGGTGGGCGGCCTATGCTCGATTGGGTGTAACAGGCATAAGTAAGTAAGTAATGCTAGAAACAAGGAGTCGCCCAATGCTACCGTATTACAAATGGTGATCTAACAGTGACCGACTTATCATTTCAATGAAACTCAACAATCTCCACTAACTTTATAATTAATTGATCATTTGAAAAAAATTGTTTTGTTTTTCGCCCAAACTTTAGTCATTAATTAATTATTTCATTTGATATTATTATCATAACATTTCCTCTTTTTCTTCTTTTTCACTCACTTTTCTTACCTATTAATTATTAATTATTAATTAGTAATTTTTTTTTTCAAATGAAAATATAATTATTGTTTTTTGTTATTGTTGAATATAGATAGATAGATGATTATTAATTATGTTGAATAATTGTTTTGTCTGTGTGTGTGTTTGTGTGTTTTACTTCTTCTAAACTGAAAGAGAAAACATTCTGACTTCAAGTTGACTTCATGCTGTTTAAATTATGATATTGATTTTTGAACAAGAAGTTAAGAGTGTTCCTCTAATGAAACATGAATGAAGTGAATAGAATCGTTGATAGCGCAACATATAAATTAGTGTGTGTGTGTGTGTGTGTGCGTGTGTGACAGATCAATGGCAGATCAATAGATGAAGTAATGAAACTTCATCAGTTGAGGTGGTTGGGACATGTGCTGCGTATGCCTAACCACCGACTGCCTCGACGAGCTATGTTTTGTAGTGTAGGAGTAGGTCGGAAGGAAATTAGGGGCGGCCAAACCAAAACATGGCAGAAATCCATAAAGTCACTCACAAGTGGACTTAGTCATGTCGGTAGTTGTCGACTACCTGGTTGAGGTCCGCGAGATGATAATAATCTATGGTTAGATACCCTGAATGACATGGCTCAAAACCGTTTGCAATGGCGCCGGTGCATTTATTCTTTGTGTTCTCTCAAATCCTAATCTTCTGGATTCTTCAAGCCCTTTAGTTCTGAATTTCTAAACTTTTCTCAATGAATCGTATTTCTTGAATAATATCTTCTAATCCTAACCTCTCCGATTACTTCTAATACCTTTACTACCTCTTCTACTATTGGATTTGAATTGACAATTATACCTCTGTGCTGATGTGGTATGGCAAAATGAACTGATGTACTTACGTACGAAGTTCTATGTTGCATCTGACTGACTGACTGACCAGTTGGGAAGCAGTCAGGCTAAGTATGTGAATAACCTCATTGTATGCAAACATGATTCCTAATGTTGATGCTTTCTAAACAGCTGAAAAACTCGACAACTTAAAAAACTTACGGATAATAGAATTCATTCTCGGTGGACTAGCTGGCGTCAATTCAAATTCAAAATCTCATTAAGATAACACATTGAACATTTGAAGTGATAGATGTTAAGTACACGTACTGGTATGAATATCAACACTTGGATGTACCGGGATTTATCTATTGTCCAGTTGTATATTGAACGAAACTAGTTTCATAGATTGATAGACACTTAAAGCTTAGCAAACTTTTATCATGTGTCATCTTGTCAGGCAGTAACCATACAATACGTTTACATCTATCTCATTGTATATCTTCTGGTAGAACGAAACGCTGATACATTCGAATCCATGCACACAACAAAGAAAAAGAATTTGATCGTTCTCCTAAGTAGCATTATCACAGCACAAGTGTCAGATATAATTGAACCAGTCAAAATTCTCAAATTCCTCCACTTGAACTATTGAAGGTCTTCACCGCCACTTTCTACTCATTTAGTGTTCACGTAATCAATAAACTATAATATTTTTTTGAATTAGGGTTATACAGATCAGTGTTTTTACACATTAAAATCATCAATTAATCATTTTTAGACTACCATCAGAAACTTAGAAGCACTGAAAGATGACCGTTTACTCCTTGTGTGTGACTCATCAGCAATACTACTCACATGATTCGAACCAAGGACCTTCGGTTTTGTGCGCGAACGTCTAACCTCTGAACCACCGGGACGGCATCTAGTGATGTTAATGTCTAACTTTACTGCCCACACCCGACAAGGTTGAACTCCACTGGTCAAGACCTCTCTCACTAGAACTCTGAGAATTTCTTCACGAAGTTAGTCACTAGTGATCACATTGTTTGTATCCTGTGAGTAGCAGCAGTCGTGGATGTGCATTCCTGATGAGTCTTATATGCCAGGACGAAATGGCCGTCCAGTGCTTCCAGGTTTCTAATGGTGGTTGAACAATGATTGATTGATGGGTTTTAGTGTGTAAATGTAATACTCATTAGCACCAAACATTTATTTACCTAAACACGTTTAACATACATAAACATTTGTTGAAAAAATTAGATAATTTTGATAAATTTCCATCATTTCCTCTTCTTTTTAAATTTTTTTTGTTAAAATCATAGTGTGATGATGAAGATTTAACTCCACTTATTCGTACTTTGAAACCACATTGTATATTACTTTTAAATATTCCAAGGTAAGTGAATCAGTAGTTGTCATATTGTGAAAATTTACTGATCATTATAATAATTATTGTTATTATTATTGTTATTATCATTATTACAACAAAAAGAACTAACGAGAAACGGTGTTTTATAATTTAACCTTCTTTTTGAAAATAACAATGTCCTCATTGACTTTTGATTGAAAAATGTACTATTGATGTGTACATGTATTATGGAAGTTTTGAAAATCAAGTCAATGGTTATGTACATCTCATCAGATAGAGTTTCACATGATTAATGTTATGGAGTAGGCGATTGTTATGATCGTCACTAGGTATGTTTGAAACTATTACGGGTTTAACCTTAGTCGATAAATGAACCAGCCTCCAAGTAGGCTACCCTGATCCGTTGACTAACCAAAAGTCCTGATATAGCGTAGAAAGTATATTCCACAAACACCCAGCAAGCACAATATAATCAAGCAGACAAATCGTGTTTATTTATACATCATAGAGACGTCCTTGGGACAGCCACAAAAATAGCACACTAATAACACAGTTGTAGTGAACGAGAACACAGGTGGGGCAACCGAATTGTATTTAACGAAAATTACAGAGTTACTCAGTAAAATCGGAAAACCATATCGTAAATTGTTCATTTGCAAAAGATCAGTTCATCATATCGAACTGGACTGTTCCTGTTGCCAAACATCAATCCATTGTCACTATTCATGCGTTTCATACAAATTCCATTGTGTTCTTCTTACTCTTCCTTTCTTGATCTTCCTCCATCTTCTGCTGCCAGACATTACGTTGACACTCACGTCATATAATACTTATAAGTAGCTCACACCGCACAGTAACCAATCACAGCCAAGGATTTTCTTGAGGGAAAATACGATCTCAAGGTCAACTGATCAGCCCATGCTTGGAAACAAAAATCCAAAATTAAAGCATTTATCGAGCGCGTCCCCAACAGCAATAAAATTGTATTCCTATATTAATTCAATTTGTTCCAGCTTTGTTTCATTTGAATGACAAAAGATGATAATGAAGTGTACATTACTTGAGAAAAAGAATATTTATTGTAAATTATGTGAATTAGTAAGTGATGTGGTGTGATATCCTTTTAGTGTTATAGGTGTTGCTTAACAAAAGCAAGCAAAGAAGTATTATCTTTGGTCATTTGAATAAAAAAAACTCCCCATAGATTATTTGCAAATAAAGAATATTTAAGTGAACAATTGTTTTCAATAACTTTGTCATCAGCCTCTACAGCTGTTATAAGTACATAATTATTGGCTGAAAAAATAAGGCATGTAATAAATTGCAATCAGTCAGTCAGTTGGTCAGTTACAACGCAGAGCTTTGTACGTAATTTCCTTGGTTCAAGCTGCCATACCACATTAGCACAAAGAGATGCAATTGTCAGTTCAAATCCCATACTGGAAGAGATAGTAGAGGTATTAATGGTAATGAAGAAGACTAGGGTTCAAAGATATTATTCAAGAAGTAGAATCTAGTGAAATAAACTTAAGAAGATAAAAGTGATGAGGAATTCAGAAGATTCGAACGATTCGAGAGAACACAAAGAATGAATGCACCTACTCCATTGCAAATGGTTTTAAGCCATGTCATTCAAGGTCTCTAATTATCGATTACAGTCATCTCACAGAACCCAATCAGGTAGTCTACACCTACCAACATGACTCACTCCACTTGTCAGTGACTTTTGCTTAAATTATTTTTTTAAAAATATTTTTTCCTGTTTTTATTTTCAACAGATATGGATCTGGTACTTTGCCATGGGGTCAACCAACAACGGAATTTCAACCACAACGAATTGATGATGGATTTATTGAAGTGATCGGTCTTACATCGACATCGTTGGTAAGTTAAAGGCGTTTGTCTTACCGTGATAATCATTATTATTTTTGTTTTTGGAAAAATATCAGAATATTATATTTTATGTAGTGGGATGGTTATATTAAGTGGGTTCTATTTTGATGCTTAAATCAGAATGTTATGATGAAATTGACTTAAAAACTTAATGAAATGTATTTATACAACAAGGTGCTGATTAATAGTATTATTTTATTTTATTTGAGAGCATAAACGTTGGTACCTAAATGTTTATGCGACACACAAGTGATCAAATTTGTATGTGAGCTGGAATACTGCTAAAATACCTGAACCAAAGCAGGTGGTTTTTTTCCAAAAGGGCCACACCACGAGTCATTGACATAAAGCAGTGAGTGGTACAAAATAAGGAGATGCGGTTCCACGGTAGTCAGTTACCAACAACAATAAGTTCATAGGCCATTCGTTCCATCAGTGTTATGCCTGCACGTAAACACGTCAACTTGATATACTTGAACTATTACGAGTTTACCTAGACGGAAAATGAGAGCGAGGATCGAGGATTCGGCGACACTACATGCTTCTCAAATCCGATTATCCCAACCCTCATATTGAGTAAAAATAAGAAGACTTGAATGTGAAGTAGAACCTGTATTCTACAAACATCCAGAAAGTACGAGGTCCGAATCCAGAAGAGAATCAGGATCCCAGACTAAGGATCCAGGACCGAGCCCTGGTCCTCGTCGTGGTCATAAAACGTTACAGACAATCCGTATTTATACATTTTGGTCGAATAGGAAACAGCATCGAAGTTTGTGATATTGACAGTTAAGACGATCAATGGCAAGCAACATTTGAAGTGATATTGATAGTCAGGACAACCAATAAGAAACAACATTGGAACAGGTGACAATGACATCTAGGACGACCATAAAATTGACCAGTAGGGAGTAACCAATAGGAATTGACTAATAATCCTCTTAGGATATTGGATGAATATCCTAACAATCAGGATCCAAGAACTGATGTACATCATTGATTCGGGACGACAGTTTCCCAACTTCCCTAGGTGGAAATTTCATACCTACGAAAATGGTTACAGTGTCAAATGCCTACCTACTTTTCATCGTGTCAATTTCGTTAACGATATAAATTTATGACCGTTCTAATATTTTCTTACAGTTTAAAATTATTAAATTTCTGTGAATCATTTCAGATAAGGTCGATTAGAAGTGACAAGCTTAAATGAACAGAAACTTAGGTGGCCAAGTTTGTTGTGGATTCTATAGATCAGTTGTAACTGCTGTATCTAAGATATTAAATGAAATTAGTTTAAATCTCATTCAATGAATAAGGTGCCACAAGATTCTCCTTAAAAAGCCTACTGACAAGTTTACACCTGTACAGAATTTACCTTCAGAAGTTTTTTGATGAATAGCATCAGCTTCTTTAGTGTGGTTGTTAAATAAACTATTTGTAGTCAATTGATGATAGTTTGAAAATGTACTCATTTAAACAAATTTATGCCTTTAGATGTTATTATCATTCTAAACTCAAAATTCACTCACACTTATGACGAAACACCTGATGGTTAGAAATGGAAATTTTTCAAAGCTGACACAGGGATCTTATGCAGATTGTTAGATTTGCACAGTTCATTATGAGGAATAATCTTCGCTAAACAACCATTGAAAACTGAGAACCACTAACCAGATGGATTGTCTCACTTTCCGTGAAACTCCTGTACTAACAAACATCGTGTGCTCACATGTGACCGACTAACTCTGGAAAGGTAATTCTGGAGTTCGAGTGTGAAACAATAACCGGTGGAGTTCAACCATGTTGTATATGACGCAACTCACCACGCAAGTGCATTGAGACATGTAATTGAGTGGTAGTATGAAACTGGCTGAGATTAGCAATGTGAACCACTGAATTTCGGTTAAGTGATTCAGGTACCATGTGCAGGTATCCGATATCTTTAGGTGATACGTGCTAACCACCAGACTGGCAACCTAACCATATGCATGTATAAATATATATATTCCCATAACCAATGCTATGCGTTCGTCCTTTTGGGAAATTTTTCAGTGGTCATCAAATGACCTCGTTCGGTCACCCATTATCGGCTCTTTATATTAGATTTAGGTTAAAGGTTATCATCAAACAGCTTGAGATTTTATGCTCAATCACTTGTTATCGTCATGATTTCTCACTCCTGGGCAATTTAATAATTATACACCCGGGACCTTCGGTATTGTGCGCGAATGCCTAACCATCGGATCACTGAGCCGGCATCCAACGATGTTAATGTCTGACTCTGACTGATCTAGGGATTTTGTGACACCCCACCCATTTGTCTTCGGTAGTTAGTGCCTACACCCGACAAGGTTGAGCTCCATTGGTCACGTCTTCTCACTAGAACTCCGAGAATTTCTTCACGAAGCTAGTCACTAGTGAGCATATTTTACGATATTTTCAGTTAGAGTTTTGAAGGTTTGTGTTTTTACACATTTGAAATCATCAATCAATCAAGTGGATGAGGTCGCGCAAAATCCCCAGATCAATCAGAGTTAGACATTAACATCGTTGAATGTCGACCTAGTGGTTCAGAGGTTAGGTGTTTGCGCACAATACCGAAGGTCCCGGGTTCGAACCCTGCTTGGTGCAAGAGTCGTGGATCCGCACTGACGCTGATGAATCTCATACCAGGACGAAACGGCTGTCCAATGCTTCTATGTTTCTAATGGTGGACTAACAATGATTGACTGATGATTTCAATTGTGTAAAAAAAGAATAACCATATATCGTGTACAAAATAAATTGTTCAAAACGTGACAAACACTACACAAGACAAAGTGAACGTCTTCTTCAGCTTCGTTTGCGTGAACACACCAATTAGCAGTCGAACGCCACGACAATTCTTCGTTTATACATAGGGACAACTATGTACATATATATATTCGATTGGAACAACGCTGACATACTGTACATAGGTGATACAAAGAACCGCAGAGAATTTGTAGAAGCTTGACACTCAGGTCAAACACATTGAAATTGATCCAATTTATCAACCAATCAGAAGAATCATAGAAAAACATAAGATCTAGAACTACTAAATCAAGTGGGCAGACAGTCAAAATAATGATACAGACGATCACAGGTTAAAGGTCAACAACAACCAATCAAGATCGAGGTTACCAGAACAAAATACAGGTCAAACGTGGAGAAATTCGAATACTTCACTTCTTTAGCTGAAGTTTGTGCTGATGATGTTGTTCAACAGAACAATGATGAAAGCTCCACAACCAAATCACAACCAGCTCAGAGAACGAAACCCCACCATAATAATAATGTAGTGTATTCATCTGAACACAAAACCAAAGCATGGTACAAACCCATGAAGTCACTGACAGCTGAACTGAGCCATGCTGATAGATGCAGACTAACTGGTTGTGGTCTGTGAGACGATGGTAACCGATGATTGCATACTTTGAATGATATGGCTCGAAATCGTTTGCAATGGCACAGGTGCATCCACTCTTTTGGTTCGCTCAAATTCTAACCTTCTTAATTCCTCATCACCTCATCATCTTTTTCTTTTTAAGTTTATTTCACTAGATCCTACTTCTTGAATAATATCTTCTAATCCTAATCACTCCGATTACTGCTAATACCTTTACTACCTTTACTACTACTATAGGATCTGAATTGACAGTTTGATTTCTCTGTGCTAATGCGGTATGGCAACTTGAACACTGATGTACGTACGTACGTACGTACGTACATACGAAGTTCTGCGTTACTGTTGATTGATTTTTTACAATTTTACTCCATTTGATATTCACTACATATATATGAACTTGTTCATTAAATCAAAATTTGTCTTTCTATTAGTTATATTATGATCGATTTAAAAAGGAATCAAATAAGTTTGACAGTTTTATTTCTTGACAATAAACAATCATTTGTGATATTTTGAAGTGAGAGGCAATAAACCTATCGTGTTTTTTTTTCACTGCATACTTTTTTTTCCTACACAGGCAACTTTACAAATCGGTGGACATGGTGATCGAATTTGTCAATGTCGTCGTGTTCACTTGACGACAGATATAATTATTCCAATGCAAATGGATGGTGAACCGTTTCGGTTGTTGCCATCGAAAATCGATGTATTCTGTTCGCATCAAGCATTAGTCATACAAAAATTAACACGTTCACCTGTTTCATCGGCATTGCTTCATGAGTATGTTTATTTGAGCGTTTTCCTTTTTAAAAGAATATTAATTAAAAGTTAGTTGTATTGTATTGTAAAATCTATCGTCCTGGTATGGAACTCATCAGTAGCGCGCATCCATGACTCCTGTTACTCGCAGGTTTTAAACCAAAGACCTTCTGTCTTGCGCACGATCAGTTAACCGCTGGACCACTTGGCCAGAATCCAGTGGTATTATAGTCTAACTTCAGTCATTCCATTGTCATGCGCAACCTCATCCACAGTCTTCTGTGAGTAGTACTACTTCACATCCAAATAGGGTTGAACTCCACTGGTAACGTATTCTCATCAGAACTCGGAGAAACGTCCTCACTAGTGAGGACATGATAATTTGTATGACAGCAGTGTGAGTTACTTTTTTAAAAATCGTGAATCGACCAATGGTAGACCGTCACTAGAAACTTAGAAGCGTTGGACGGTCGTTTCATTCAGGTATAGGATTAGTTAGCAGTGCACGTCCACGACTCCTGTTACTCTCAAGATTCGAACCAAGGGCCTTCGGACTTGCACGTGAATGCCTAACCTCTAGTCCACTGAGGCGGCATCCAACAGTGTTAGTGTCTAACTTCGGTTGATTCACAACTTTGTGCAACCTCGTCCACTGTCTTCGCTGAGCACCGCTTCACACCCGAACAGGGTTGAACTGCACTGATCGTGACTTCTTACTAGAACTTGAAGAAACTTCTTCATGGAGCTAGTTACTGCTAGTGAGCACATGATAATTTGCATGATAGTACTGTGAAGATTACTAAAGTCTTAAATCAATCACTGTTAAAACACCACTAAACACCTAGAAGCACAGAATGGGCATTTCGTCGTGATGTGAAGTCATGGATGCGCATTACTGTTGAATCTCATACCAGCACGATGAAATGGCAGTCCAGTACTTTCAGGTTTCTAATCATGGTCAAACTGTAATCAATTCATGATGTCGATAAAGTATTTCAACAATCTGCACAAACCTTATCATAAAATAATGTACCAGTTATTTAGGTAACAGACTGAAAAACAAAACTATCAACCATTAATTATACTAACTTCAAGTACATGGATTAACTTTTATTGATTCTATACAACAGTGTTGTGGTATTTCATTTCTCATTTACAACAATTAGACCCTTTTATAGATTGAATTTTAATAGAACAATCAATGCATGCGAAGACATAGTTAGATTTGAAATATGTTGTGATTGCATTTGTGCACTGACCAATTTCTGGTCGCATGTATCGATCAGGTTAGGTATTTTATGTGAAAAATTATTCATTAAAAAAGGTTAATTAATTTAAACAAGTACACGATTTTCATTACGGGGTTGTGAAGATTATTAAGTTACACATTGTTTTTTGAAACCATGAATCGATCAATGTTAGACCACCAGTGTTAGAAACCTGGAAGCACTGGACTATGGCCGTTTCGTCCTGGTATGTGACTCATCAGTGGCGGCGCGCATCCACGACTCCTGCATCCCACAGGATTCGAACCCAGGACCTTATGTTTGTGAAAATCTATTACGCTTGTGTGTTTTTAAAATTAATCTCTGGTTATTTAATTACTTAATAACACACTGATTAAGATAATATTCTTGTGTTGTATGAATTAATGTGCTTTTAAAATGTGCATCACATCCATCTTGTTAAATAATGATGCTGTTCAGGTATGTGAAAGTGTTCACATTCCCCAAAGCTTCTCTGTGAAGCTTGATCATTTTTGGTGACTGTTGTGTTGTATTGGAAGACCTTTCTTTCTTTTTTCATTGAGACCTACTTCTGCAGAGACTGCTGCCACACTAACAGTCTTCACCTGTATTTGTTGTTGTGTGTGGGGTAGAAGAGCTACGAAGTCCAAATTGTCTAGCTGTACTAAAGCTATCAATGGAATTCCGTGCTTCTTTTGAAATTCTAAGGTTTTCATAATCCAGTCGAACACTAAACGAAAGAGTGCTGGGGATGTTAGATCCCAAGAACTCACTTGATAGACGTCCTAATTTTGGATTTTTGTTTGTTCGCGCATGGGCTGCTCAGTTGACCTTGAATGTCATTAGTTGATTTATTAATTTAATATGCTATTTTGTGGCTCTCCCAAGGACGTTGGTGTCATTATATAAATAAGCTTGATTTGTGTGCTTGTTGACCTCGATTCTCCAGGTGCTTGTAGTTTACACTTTCTACGCCTTATCAAGACTTATAACTAAAGTTAGCAAGGCCGAGGACAATCGAATCAGAATTAGCCTACCGTGTCACTGTATCACTGCTTCGCTCTTGTTTGCCGAGTAAGATGATCTCGTAATAGTTTCAAGCATGTCAACTGACAAGCATATCAAATAGAAAGTGTGAAAGTAAGCAACCTTATCTGACAACATCTATGAGCTGTCCTCTCTGCAGTCAGTCGTAGGAATTCCATGTTATGTTGAATATCTTCTAAGATATGCTATAATGTCTAAGAAGCCTTCATTGCGTCATCCTGTTATCATTATCTACGAAATATTTAGAATTAATTAGGCTTCTATACATATTCAATTTTCAATAACATTTTCGGCAACAGATTCTTAAGATTAATCATTTGGCTTAAATAAGGGATATTAACTATGCTGATGAGAATCAATTTTGGCACCATCCCATGTTATAAGTACACTATAGACTTATTTAAAAAATCATTTACATAATTGTAAATGTGAATATTTTTTTAAATAAAGAATGAACGCTACTCATAACACTGAACATTGATCTGAGAATATTCAATCCTCAGTATAATCAACATTCACGGATAGTATGCTTTTCTGTTCCTATCAAAATTAATAATTAAAATAAAAAATATATTATTTCATTAAATAATTTAATAACTTATTCAGCATGAAATATTTTTGTAGGGTTATATTAGATAATTAGTTAAGGTAATTAACCCTTGTGTATCATATCATTTTCCGGATATTGAATCTACTCTAATATGTTTTCACGGTAAGATCAAAGAATATTAACAACAGGGCAAAATAACTAACATAAAATTCATTTTACTTTTGTAGGGCTCTTCTCATCAGCTGATTACAACATGAAATATTTTAAAAATTCAAAATTACTATGTAGTTTACAAAACTCATAACAAAATCTATAATGGCTAAATATAATTATGATGACGTTATGATAGTGAAGACATATAAAGAATGTTGTAAATATATATAAATACGTGAGAGAAAATTCTGATTTATCAGGCACGATAACAAGAAGTCATAGAGATATGATCTTCAATTTCAATATTCCATCATGATAATCTGTATATCCCTGTTTCTACTATTATAAGTATGTAAACTTTGCATAATCCAGCTAAATACCAGAAGAAAAGGAAAGTATAAAAGTAAGCAACTCTGCCTGACACCAATCTTCACTTAAGATGCATCTGTGAGCTGTCCTCAATGCACGATCTTCCAATTGAACCCATCATAAGAATATATATATATATATATATATATATATATATATATATATATTGAATGGAATTTACAGCATCCAACATCGTAGACAGGATAACACTGTCGCTGCTTCTTCGAAACTTCGACATACCTCAGAAGATAGTCAACATAATACGGAATTTTTATGATGGATTAAACTGCAAAATCGTGCATGATGGACGGCTCGCAAATCCATTTCCAATGAAGACCGATGTCAGGCAGAGCTGCTTATTCTCACACGTTATCCTGGATTATGAAGACGTCAACATATGGGAGGAAGCACGAGATGCAGAGGAAAGCTAGGACGTAGATGGACGATCTGGACATCGCAGATGATCTTGCTATTCTATCACCCAGCAGCAGCCTCAGCAGCAGCAGCGGGTCTCAGCATACACAAAAGGGAAAAGCGAGATTCTCCGATATAACACAACATGTGCCAACCAAACCATAATTGACGATTAAACCTTGGAAAATGTAGAAAAATTCACATATATCAAGTAGAGATTTTACAGTTCTAAAATTTTGAGTTTTTGAAAGTTTTAAACGAAAACTATCAACATTCCATTTCATTTATAAGAAGAAATAGCCTAGACAAACAACGACAATGGTTATTACTTACTGATTAATTAATCATTTGTAAATTATATCAGTCTTATTGAAATTCCATCGAGTAGTGAGTGACACATACATAGTCCATGGGTAAATGTGTGTATGACTCTATAAAGCTCTGTCTGTCTGATAAAGCAGCACCAAATCTGCCCGGAAGTTAGTTAGTTAGTTAGTTAGCTACCATAATATTATAGACGAATGTCAATTAGTGAATAACCCTAAGTTAAACAAGGTCGATTGTCGACTAAAATATCCTTAACCGGCAAATAAAACTACCTCGAATTTATGATTTTTTTCTTTGGAAAATTTTTTTAAATTGATATAAAATTAATTATCATATTTGTTTCTATTTCAACCGAATTTTTTTAAAAAAATAGTTTGCTTGACAGTTCAAATAATACTCTCTAACTAATGTACATATTGTGTTTTTAGTTTCCTGCCTAATTTATCATTCGCTTGATCAATACGAAAGAAAACTAATCAAGTAATAAACAGTGCATTGATTAGAGTTAGTTCACTTTTTACACATGACAAATGATAGAAATACATTAGCGTATAAAATATTATATTAACTAAAACCATAAGAGTATATTCTTCGCTATCTATATTGGTTAAAAGTTGGGCAGAGTTATACGGCTTGATGCGGGCTTTCCCATACGTGGGGGTTGTGGTTGCTCGCTCATTGCGGAGGTGTCCCTTAACTAAAACTATATGGTCATCTAATGAATTCCAAGTTTCCAGTAATGGTTTAATTTCAATGAAATCCAACAGTCTCTACTTCGTCATATTGATGATTATAATTTCTATGATAATGTTTATGTTTCGTCTTCACAAGCTCTATTTCTAGTTACATATTAAGGGAATTTTCTGTGGTGGTGTTTCGTTCTCTGAGCTGGTTGTGTTTTGGTTGTGGAGCTT